CAAGAAAAAAATGTTTTGTTACTATGCATGGTGACTTACTGTTGTGATCATTTTGCAGTATATGCAAATGTTAAATCATTATGTTGTACACCTGAAACTAATATGTTGTATGTCATATCTAAATTCAACTATTAAGGGTACTTAAAAGGCAGAAAACACAATTTGAAGTGACAGGGCGAGCGTCAGAACCAGACATGGCAGAAGTGTTGGAATTAGCAGAACAGGAACTTAAAACAGCTCTGGTTACTATGCTGAGAACTCTGATGGATAAAGTAGGTGACATGCAAGAACAGAGGGACAGTGTAAGCAGAGAGGTAGAAATACTAAGAAGGAACCTTTGTGTGCTTATTAGTGGAGTGGCCACAGCTGAGGGAAGGGTCTCTGTGCTAGAGGGTGCACCAGTAGAAGCCTCTAAGGCTGAAAAGTAAAGAGAGCGAAAACTGAAAGAAACAGAGCCAGTACCCCAGGACTGTGGGACAACAACAAAGGTGTAACATGGGGGTGATGGAAATACCAGCAAGTGAAGAGAGAAGAAACATCTGAAAAATTATGACTGAGAATTTCCCCAAGTTAATGTCAGACACCAACCATACATTCGGGAGCTCAGAGAACACCAAGCAGAATAGATGCAGAACAAATTATTCTGTCATTTCAAACGACAGAATATCCCAGTTACAGAAAAATCCTGAAAGAAGCCAGAGGGGGAAAACACCTTACCTGTAGAAAAGCAAGGAGAAGAATTACATCCAGCTTCTCCTTAGAACCTACACAAGCAAGAAGAGAGTGGATCGAAACATTTAAAATCTTGAGGGGGAAAAACCCATCAGCCTAGAAATCTGTACTCTGCAAAATTGTCCTTCAAAACTGAAGGGAAACTGACAACTTTCCAGAGAAACAAAAATTGAGAGAGTTTGTTGCCAGTAGACCTACCTTGCAAGAAATGTTAAAAGAAAAGTTTTAGGGAGAAGGAAAGTAATAGGTTAGAAACTTAGATCTACGTAAAGAAAAGAATTTGAAGAGGAATAAGTGAAGATAAATCTTTCGTTTTTCTTTTTTTAATTGATCTACGATAATAGTTTGATAAGCTCTAACAGATAATCGTTTGTTCAGAGTAGTAATAGCAGCAATGTAATTACACGTGCTTTTATATATATATATCATATATATGCTTATGTATGTTCATATATGTGAAATGAATGACCACAGTGCAGAAGATGGCAGGGAGGAATTAGGGTTATTTTGTTATTGTAAGGTACTCATACTGTCAAGTGTCTGTAAAGTGGTACAGTGTTATTTGAAAGTGGACTCAGATTAGTTGTAAATGATCATTGCAAACTGTAGGGCAACCACTAAAAAAAATATTTTGAAACTATATTGATATGCTAAGAAAGAGAAAATGGAATGATAAAATTCCCTTGCCCTGAAAAAAACACCAGAGGAAAAAAACAGTAGAAAACAAAAATAAGACAGAGAACAAGAGCAACAAATTAAAAATAGTACCAAAGATGTTAGATATTGATCCAGCTATATCAGTAATCACTTTGAAGATCAGTGGCCTAAGTGCACCCATTAAGATAGATATTGTTAGAGTAGATCAAAAAACAGCACCCAACTATCCGTTGTCTACATTGTATAGAAGGTAAAGATTAAATGGACTGAGAAAAATATTCCATGCTCACTCTAATCAAAAGAAAGAAAAAGTAGCTATAATAATTTCAGACAGAACAGACTTCAAAGCAAGGGAAGTTATCAGGGAAAAAGGAGGGCATTACATGATGACAGATGGGTCAATTCTCTAAGAAGACATAAAATTCTTAATGTATGTGCCCCTAAGAACAGAGTAAAACTACGTGAGGCAAAAACTAATAGAGCTGCAAGGAGAAACAGGTGGAGACGTCAACATTTCCCTGTCATAATTAAGACAGATCCAGCTGGCAGGTGACATGTCCGTGTGTGTATGTGTGTGTGTGTGTGTGTATGCAAGAGAATTGACAAGAAAACGCCTGGAACTAATAAGTAATTATAAAAAGATTGTAGGATGTAAGATTAATGTACAATACTCAGTTCCTTTCCCAGTCCCTTCAGTGAACAAGTGGGATTTGAAATACAAAACACAATACCATTTACATTAGCACCCCCCAAAACAAAATATTTAGGTATAAATCTAACAAAATATATACAAGATCTATACGAGGAAAACTACAGAACTCAAAAAACAAAATTAATGGAGAGAAATTCTGTTTTGTAGAAAGACTCAGTAATGTCAAGATGTCAATTCTTTCCAACTGTTTTTATGGATTCGGTGCAATCCTAGTCATATTCCCAGCAAGGTCCTTTGTGAGTATCAGTAAACTTGATTTTTGAGTTTATATAGTGAGGCAAAAGACACAGAGTAGCCAAAACAATACTGAAAGGGAAGAACAAAGATGGAGCACTGACATGTTAGGCTTCAAGACTTAGCATAAAGTTAAAATAATGAAGACTGTTACTGGCAAAACAAAATACAAATCAGTCAATGGAACAGAATAGAGAACCCAGAAATAGAGCCACATAAATACAGTCAGTGATCTTTGACAAGAGAGCGAAGGCAGTGCAGCTGAGCAAAGATAGTCACAATGGAACATCCACGTGCAAAAAAATTAATCTAGACACAGACTTTACATCCTCCATAGAAACTACCTCAAAGTGGACCACAGACCACTTTGTGAAGCATAAAACTCCTAGAAAGACAGCATAGAAATACAGGTGACCTTGTGTATGGCAGTGACTGTGTAGACAGCACTGAAGACATGACCCATGAAAGAAAGAATGGATAAGCTGAAATTCGTTAAAATTAGAAACTTCTGCTCTACAAGAAGACAATGTCAAGATAATAAGACAAGCTATACACTGGGAGAAAATATGTGCAGAATATGCATCTGATGAAGGGCCGTTACCCAAAATATACAAAGAACTCTTAAAATTCAATAATAAGAAATCAGCCTAATTTTTAAAATGGGCCAAAACCCTAACAGACACCTCACCAAAGGAGACATACAGACGGCAAGTAAATACATGAAAAGACGCTCCACGCCATACGTTGATGGGGAAATGCAAGTTAGTACTCGATACTACTACGCATCTACCTGTGTCACCAAAATCTGAAACACTGACAACACCAAGTGCTGATGAGGATCTGGAGCAACAGGAACCCTCATTCACTGTTGGTGGGAACGCAAAATGGTGCAGCCACTGTGGAAGACAGTCTGGCAGTTTCTCAAAGACTGAACTTACTCTTACTGTGTGATCCCGCAGTTGCCCTTCTTGGTATTGTTGACCTGAAATAAACAGACTGCCAGATATTTCTCCAGCAAAGTTGGGTCTATTTGGGGTCAGCAGGGAATTGCAATTCAGGATTCACAACCATGACAAGCCACATCCAAGTTCCTGCACAGCAAGGGAAGGGACATTTTTATGGAGAAGAGGAGGAGGTTGGGAAGACTCTGGTAAACAAAGAGCCATGGCTTTTCACTGGTGCATCCCGGCCAGAAAAAGGGGGGAGTCTGTCCCTGTTGTCATCCAGGCTGTCATCCAGGGCTTAGAGCTCCCCTTTCTGGTCTCAGCTCTATTTAATTGAAGTCTTTGTTTATTTAACTTTCACAGCATTTACCGAAAGGAGTTGAAAACTTATGTCCACACAAAAACCTGCACACAGATGTTTATAGTTTTAGTCGTAACTGCCGAACTTGGAGGCACCCAAGATGTCCTTCAGTATGTGAATGGATACATGAACCGTGGTCCATCCTGACAGTGGAACATTATCCAGCGCTAAAAGGAAAATGAAGCCACAAAAAGCCACGGACAAACCTTAAATGTGTGTTACTAAGTGAAAGCAGCCAGTCTGAAAAGGCTACATATTGTATGACTCCATCTACATGACCTTCTGGAAAATGCAGAATATGAAGATAGTAAAAAGCTTAGTGGCTGCCAGGGGTTGAGGGGAAGGGGACTGAACAGACGGAATACAGAGGATTTTCAGGGCAATGAACCTACTCTGTATGGTGGTATAAAGGTAGATACAAGTCTTTGTACATTTGTCAAACCCATAGAGTGCACACCACAAAGTGAACCCTTCTGTCATCTCTGTGGACCTTGATTATGGTGTGTCAGTGTAGTTTTATGATGATAACAGATTACCAGTCTGGTGCAGGATGTTGTGATGGGGGAGGCAGGCATGGGAGCTTAGGGAGTATGAGGCAGACTTCTGTACCTTTCTCTAAATTTTGCTATGAACCCAAAACTAAAAAAAATAAAGTCTTTAAAAAGTTATTTTACAAAAAAGTTTGAGAAACACTGGATGACTTAAAAGCAAATTTTTTTCTCATAGGATTTCTCAGAACCTTTTTTATGCAATGTGATTCTCCAAGAAGGAAACATTACATTCAGAGTTTCCCAAGCTGAAACTGAGGAATACTGAGAAATGTTGTTTTATTAAATAGAAAAAACGGGACTTCTAAAATACATTGAAAAACAAAACAAAATTTTTAAACATTCTCCAGAAAATTAATTATTCTCAAGGAAAGAAAAGGCTTTGGTTTATATGTAAGAAATCCTTTTGACAGTGAGATTTGATACACTATGGGATGAGGAAATGTAATGTTGTTTTTTTTCTGAATATGTTTTAAATCCAGATTTGTATTTCTTTCCAGGATGTCTTTTTTTGTTGTTGTTTAATACCAGAGGGTCCCATCAGTCCCCTAGTTTTTAGTAGTAAATTTTAATTGTAAATTTTTATTTGTCTAGATAAACAAGTTCGTACTGTACAGCACAGGGAACTATATTCAATATCTTGTAGTAACTTATGGTGAAAAGAATATGAAACGAACATATATGTATGTTCATATATAACTGAAGCCTTATGTCGTACACCAGAAATTGACACAATATTGTAAACTGACTATACTTCAATTAAAAAAAAAAAGTATACAAAAAAGTAATAAATTTTACTTGTCCTGTTTCAGGTGCAGTATTTAGATCACGGATTTACGGAGAAGATTCCGCAGTGTCATCTTTACCCTGTTTTGCTGTGTCCTGATAGACCCCAGTTTTGTATTCCGTGTCAGCTCTGTAATACCATACCTGTGAGTGAACAGTGATTGGTGGGATGGTTAATTTTAAATACTTTTATTTTATTTTAATTTATTGTATTTTATTAAGAATAATTTTTTAGAAATTAGAGTGTAAAATGAAATTCCTTTTAGTGCAACAAAAGTAGTAAAATATTTAGAAATAAGCTCACTAAGACAGCTAAAGGGCCTTTATGAAGAAAACTACAGATTTATACTGAAGGATATAAAAACACCTGGATAAATTGATACAATAAATTGATAGATGGGAAGGTGTATGATTGTTAATTTCTAGTTATGGCTTTATCAAGTAAAATTTCAAGATATTTATCCTTTATCTGGATCAGGTTAAGGAATGGTATATTAATTATCTCACACTACATAACAAGTTAAGCTTAAAACTTAGTGGTCTCAATCGACAATAAGCTTTTTAGAGGTTTTATACAGTCCCTGTGGCTCACGGACTGGGAGCAACCTGGCTGGGTGGTCTTGGCTCAGGGCCGCTAGGGAGGCTGCATCCTGGATGTGCCCCAGATGTGCATCGTCTGGCAGGAAGCACTCCCTGCCAGGTGAGCCTCTGTGCACGTAAAACGTGACAGTCGCTGCTCCGTGGTACGTGCAGGCATGGTCATTATGCAGGCACTGCGTTGGCATGTTGGCTCTTTTAAAGTTTTATGATGTTTTGCTTTTACTGTGGGTTTATATTTTTAATGCATAAAATAAGAGACTGACATGGGAAGCTGAGGCGAATTATTAGTTTCTTAAGATCATTTTTATCATATACCCATGATATCTCTGAAAATTGCCTGTATGTTTTGTACTACTCTGTAGTGTTACCTGTTTATGGCTGCTTTTGTGTATTTTCATTTACTTCCTGCTGTGTCTTATTTTGTGAAAGTGTTAAGGAATCTGAGTCTATTAATCCCAAACAGGTCGGGAATGTCTGGCAACCAGATGCGATAGAACTTCTTCAGGAACTGCTTTCAAAGAGAGAGGTGGAAATTCACATTATGGTAATTTGTATTTAAAGCATATGTCGTTGATGTAGATTATTTGCCATGAAGTGTTCAGGTAACATAATGTGAGGCATATTTTTTATGATGAACTATGTCCCTGTGTGATCCTAAATTACTGATTAGCGTGAAAGTTTCCAGTTTGGTTCCTAGGCTCATTTTAAATAAACCTAATTTTGAGCAAGTTCCCAAGAACTTTCATAAGCAAGAAATCCGGTAATTTGGACAATTCCTTAGTAATGACTTACTTTGACCCAGGGAGAAGTACTAAGGAATCAGAGACGTTTACAGCACACTTGGTCGCTTTCAGGAGGGTGCTATGTGTAGCGCTGTGTGAGGTGCAGGTAATCCTGTCCTCAGAGACCCCATCTAGTTAGGGAAACAGTGAGACACAGACAGAAATCTAAAGACTGGACACCACGAAGGGCTTGTGCGGAGCCAGGCGACTGGGAAAGGATTAAGTGTGACAGGAGTGTGGGGTGGTGAAGTCAAGCCAGTCTCCTGACCTGGAGGGGAGGTGTGCACAGAAGCAGGCCTGGCACACCTGTAAGAAGTGTGTGTCTGTGAGGAGCAGTGTGAACAGGTGTGTGAGAAGTACGGTCAGTCACGAGGTCAGTCAGGAGGCTCCATTGGAGGTTTCTGAGCAGCCAGGTAATGAGAAGATTAACCTGGAGCTGCGTTTGAAGATTCAAGTAGAAAGATGTAAAAACTGTGAACAAGTATTTCTGTGTGAAGCTGTGACGTGACAAGGACTAGAAGGAGCCACAGATGCACTTAAATGAGGTAGAGGGGCCTCCCCAGTCAGTCACACCTCCGTGGCGGTCACGGAGTACAGCAGAGATTGGAGCTTTTTAGTTTATCGAGGCAGCTTTCTTTGCTGCTTAGCTTAACGTGGGCAGACACTTCTCAGTGTAGCAGGGGCCCCCGACTTCCCAGAAACCATGCCTGCCTGCCTGCCCTGCAGCCCTGCCGCACAGCAGGCTGCCCCGCCTCCCCGCCCCGGACCTTCCACACTGGTGACGCATGCATGCTGGGCTCTGGTCTAGGCCTGCAGAAACGGCAGTGAGCCATGTGGTCAAACTCCTGCCTTCACTGAGCTTCCATTTTAGTGGGGAGAAGCAACTTTTTAAAATAAAATACAGGGTGTGTGAAATAGTGATAAGTGCTAGGAAGAAAAATGAAGCGGGAAAGGCTGGTAGGGAGAGGGGGGCCAGGGAGGAAGTAGCATTGAATACACTAGTTGGGGAAGACATCCTTAAAAAGATAGAATTTGGTTAAGACTTTTAAATGGTGAGGGGACACCCCATGCAGATATCAGAACAGTTCCTGGAGCTCCAGGACAGAAGCCTGGAGGGTTCTGGAGGGACCCAAGCCACTGTGGCTGGAGGACAAGACCCACAGGACTTGGAGGTGGGAACTGTGAAGCTGGGCAAAGGAGTGACGTGACCCAACCTTACCCTCTGCACTGATGAGAATCACACAGAGAACACAGAACGGGGGCTGCTGGAAGTTACAGACACTCAGGAGAGACACGAGTTAGGACCAGGGTGGTGCCAAGCAGAAACAGAGGAACGATGGCCCATCGGTCCGGTGCGTGTCCAGTGCCCAGTGTTTGTAGATGGGCCCACAGGTTTTAAAGCCACTGTATGACTCCTAACTGTTAATTTTTTCCAATTCCTGCCATTTTGGATTTTTAAGTAAACTTCATTTGTTTTCCCCTGAGCATAGCTTTTCTTTCCCCTTGTACTTAGGATGAATCATCAGTATCATCTAAAGATGATTTGCAGTAAATTGCTTTCTGGTAAATAGCTAGAAGACTCTCTACCTTACAGACATGTAAATATATTCTATATAAACCATAGTAGTAGAATTGTTGCCTTATAACCTGCCAAGATACCATGGAGAAATTTTTGCAAAATGAGTCACTAGTCAAACTAGTAATACTGTGATTGTCAGAAACCTCATTTCAGTTTTGCTGACTATGAAACTTTAATCTTCAAACTATTTTCAAATTATTTTATAGTAATAATCTTCTGTATTGAACTTAAATAGGAATTACCTGAAAGTCCATGGGAGAAATTATCTATTCAGCTCTATTTTGATGGAATGTCACTTTCTTATTTTATGGCACATCATAAATATTGTACTTTTGAACATTCTGAGGAAATACTGAAGGAAGTAAGTGAACTATTTTTCTATGAAAATCCAAACTATAGAGAAAGAAATTGTGGTTAAAATGTCATATTTTTGTCTTACGCCTCAAGTCTTCCAAATAGTTCTACACGTCTTACACGTTAAGAGTGTCTCAAGAATCTGTCAGTTCTTTATTGAGAAATGATTACACTATGTCATGCTTTATAAATGTCCTAAAAAAAAGACTTCGGTTGCACTCAGGTTCACTTAATGTTTCTGTACCTTCAAACCTACTGAGAAGTTCATAGTTCTCCAGTGTTGTTTGAATATAGATGTAAATTATAAAATTGTACTGCAATTCACTGCCAGAAAAGGGCTGTCTCCCAAGATAAAGTGTTTTTTCCTTTTATTTGGCAGTAGAACGTTTCTCCCATTTGGCCTTCTTACGTGAAACTCAGAGCCAGATTTTAAGCTTAGCTTCATAAGTAGCCCATTGCAGTTGCCTGGTGCTTCTGTTTTTAATATTTTTAAAAACATAATCAGCTTGTTATAGATATGGTTTCACATTGTAAGCTGCCACAAATACTTTATAGAAGTGGAATATTCATCGTAAATATTAACATCAGCATTTTACATAGCAAGATAGTTTTATTTCTAGACTGACAGTCCACTTGTTGGTTTTTGAATAATGATAACACACAACCAGTGAGTGTTCAGTTCAGCATAGAAAACTTTCTTCTCTCAAGTGGAAAACCATGATGTTAGTCTGTCCATGTGATCCTCACTGCCAGCCGTTTCCTTGGAGCAGAGGGGTGTGCGTGTCTGCGTGCATGCTCCTGTGTTTGTCAACAGGTTTCACAAAAACTGCTTCGTCTGCCTTCTGTTGTACTCTCCAGTGTGAACATTTAAAAGGAAAGGAAGGGCCTCCACCCTCTTACTGTAGACTGTGTAGAATGGACATGCATTCAGCATGATTTTGAGGATTCCTCTTGTTGCACTGTTAAGATTACTCAGAACACTAAATTTTCCCGTAGTTAACCTGAAATGACTACCAGCAAGGACATGCCCACAGTTTTTGTGGGATGAAATATTAAAGTGCCTTAAAACAATAGTATATAGTTGAAGATGATTTTGTTCGTTAATAATACTATGTTATTTCAGAAACCAACAGATTACAATAAAAAGTATGAGGAAGAGAGATGGGAAATAACGTTTGAGGTAAGTTTCAATCCAAATATTTTGAAAATTTGGACACTTCCTCAATACAAAGAATCCAGTACAAGACTAGGAAGTAAACACTTTTCTTTTATAACAGCGTTATTGAGATAATAAATTAAAGTGTATGATTTAGTGGTTTTTAATACAGTCACAGAGTTGTGCAGTCATCACAGCTATCTAATTCCACAACAGTTTATTGTCTCAGAAAGAAACCCCACACCACTGCTGCAGTCACTTCCCACCCGCTTCCCTAGTTTCCTGGAAACCACTAGTCCTCTGTCTGTGGGTTTGCCTGCTCTGGACGTAGCCTGTAAAGGGAACCAGACAGTCCATAGCCCTTTGCACTGGCTTCCTTCATTCAACGTAATGTTTTCAGGGTTGATTCATGTTGTAGTATGTGCCCTTTTTATTACTGAATAATACTCCATTATATGGATACACCACATTTTGTTTGTCCATTCGTCTGTTGATGGACCTTGGGTTGTTTATACCTTTTTGCAGTTGTAAATGAAACTACTGTGACCATTCTTGTACAGTTTTTAACTGGATGTCTGTCTTCACTTCTCTTGAGTATGGACCTAGGACTAGAATTACTAAATCCTTGGTGACTCTGTTTACCATTTTAAGGAACTATGAAACTGTTTTCCAAAAGAGCTGCATCATTGTGCGTTTGTACTAGGATTGTACCAGGGTTCCATTTTTTCCCATATCCTCACCAACTTTTGTTATCTGACTTTCTCCCTAACCATATTAGGGCAGGTGTGAAATGCATCTCATCGTGGTTTGATGTGCGTTTCCCTGGTGACTGGTAGTGGTGAGCATCTGCATGTGCTCTGTGGCCATTTGTATATTTTCTTTGGAGAAATCTCTTCAAATCCTCTGCTCAGGATTTGACACCTAAAACAAAGGCAACAAAAATGAAAATAAACAAGTGGGACTGTATCAGACTAAAAAACCTTCTGCACAGCAAAGCCAAATCAACAAAATGAAAAGGCAGCCTACTGAATGGAAGGAAATATTTGAAAATCGTGTATTTCATAAGGGGTTAATAGCCAAAATACATAAAGAACTCATACAACTGAATAGAAGAAAAATCTGATTAAAAATGGACAAAGAAACTGAATAGACATTTTTTCCAATGACATGCAGATGGCCAACAGGTACACGAAAAGATACTCAACACCACTAATCATCAGAGAAATCAAAAAAAAAAAAAACCACAATGAGATATCACCTCACATTTCTTAGAACAGCTGTCATCAAAATGCAGGAAATAATGTGTTGGAGAGGGTGCAGAAAAAAAGGAACTTTTGTGCATTGTTGGTAGGAATGGAAATTGGTGCAGCCACTATGGAAAACAGTATGGAGGTTCCTCAAAAAATTAAAAATTGAAATACCATATGATCTAGCAATTCCAATTCGAGATATTTATCCAAATAAAACAAAAATACTAATTCAGAAAGTTATCTGCACCCCGTGTTCATTGCAGTGTTGTTTACAGTAGCTAAGACACGGAAGCACCTGAGGTGTCCACCAGTGGATAGATGGATGAAGAAGCTGTGGTGCCCGTGTACAGGTGTACCTTGGAGGCACCCCAGCTCTTACTCCAGGCCACCACAGTGAAGTGAGGAGTGCAGTAAAGCACGTGACCGTGAAGTTTCGGTGTCCCAGTGCATGTGAAAGTTATATTTACACTACGCTGTAGTCTGTTAAGTGTACAATAGCATTATGTCTAAAAAAAAACAACGTACATACCTTAAAAAGAGAGTAGTGTATTACTGAAAAATGCTGATCATCATCTGAGCCTTCAGTGAGTCATAGTAACACCAAAGATCACTGATCACAGGTCATCGTAACAGATACAATAACAATGAAAAAATTTGAAATAGTGCGAAAATTACCAAAATGTAATGCAGAGACATGAAGTGAACAGATGTTGATGGGAAAATGGCACCAGTAGCTGTGCTTAACACAGGGTTGCCCAAAACCCTTAATTTGTAAGTAACACTGTGACACACAGTAAAACAGGGTGTACCTATACCATAGAATGTTGTTCAGCCATAAAAAAGGCAATCCTGCCGTTTTTTTGACAGCGTAATAGACCCTGAAGGCATTATGCTAAGTGAAATAAATCAGAGAAAGACAGATACCATATGATCTCACTTATATCTGGAATCCAAAAAAACTGAACTTACAGAGAGCAGATTTGTGGTTACCAGAGGTGGGGTCGGGGTGCAGGAGTACAGACTTCAGTTATAAGTAAGTCCTGGGATGTGACGCACAACATGGTGACTGGCATGTGGTTTATAGGAAAGTTGCTAAGAGAGTAGATCTTAAATTTTCTCATCAGAGGAAGAAAAAGCGTTAACTGCATGGTGGTGTGATGGATGATGGATGTCAGCTCAACTTACTGTAATCATTTCACCGTAATACGTTTATCAAATCACCACGCTATATATTTTGGACTGATACAATGTTGTATGTCAGCTATATCTTAATAAAACTGGAAAACATAGAAAAGGAAAAATTTTTAAATGAAGAAAATGTTCTCTCCATTTTTAGCTGGGTTGTGTTTCTTCTGCTCAGCTGTGAGAGCGCGTTACATGTTCTGTATACAAGTCCTCTATCAGAGCTCTTGCAGACACTTTCTCCTGTTCTGTGGTTGTGTTTTCACTTTCTTGGTGGTGTCCTTTGATCATCAAACTTTTAAATTTTGATGAAGTCCAGTTTATCTTTTTTTTTAATCTAATTTTTTCTTTTGCCATTTGTGCTTTTTGGTTTAGAAAATGATTTAATAAGTAAAGTTTTACTATAAATGTAGAATTTCTTTCCTATAATTATAAAAATAACATGCTTGTTTTGGAATGTTTTGTAACATATCAGTAAAATTCAGCAGTTGGTAAGTCACTCTTTGCTGAAATCTACCAAGTGGTTCAGATATATTTTGTTTTGCCGCCAGTTTGGAAATGTTAAATAGTAAGTGAATCTATGAATTTGAATGTGATTATTTTTCTTTCTATGCTAATTGCCATATTCAAGAATTCTTTAACTTATTAAAAGAAAATCACATGTATTTATAAATACATTTGCTTTTAACAACTGCTGACTGCCATGATTCTCTTTTCATTATTCCTTATGCGTTTATAGAGCTTAAGAGGGAACACACTTTTTTGGTTATTTTAATTTAAATCTTCTTTTGGCATCTCATATGAATTTAGTTTTTACTATAAAACACATACTTATTCTGAAAATAAAAGAAATACCAGAGAAATGTGAAAAGGGAAAAAAGTCACCCCCATTCTGCATCTCAGACACCTAATCCAGTGGCAGTTCCTGTTAACTGTTAACTGTTCTCTAGAATTTTGTGTGTGCATGTAAATATTATACCTAAATAAACATTCATGTGGGGTTTTTTGCACAAAATCTTTTTTTTTTTTTTGGTGTCAGGGACAAAAGAATTCTAAAGATCTTTTGATTACTCATCACATTTTGGTCCTACTATGAGCAAATCGTTTTGTGGTATTCACTGTCTCAGCTGACTTCCTGCTAATTGAAACTAAATTGGCATTATAATGAACTTCAGTAATGTAGTGGATGTCTGTAATAGTCATTCTGAAACTTGAATTTATTTGTGGTGTTTTAGGAGTTGCTTTTGTCTGAAACAGAGACCCCTCTTCTACCACCGTACTCGCCTTCCTGTCTGCCTCCCCCGGAGGAGCTCTACGCTGTCCAAGTCAAGCACGTTGTCTCTCCCAGTGAAGTATGTGATTTCAGTCCTGAGTTGTTGGTCTTGGTCTTAAAGTCTAGGATTGCTTTTTCACATTTCTTTCTGATTTCAAATAACTGACGGTTGGTGACCTTTAGTTTGCCAACCCTGTAATTTCCTCTTCAGACATTTGTTTATACTTAATAAGGCAAGTGTTTCTTAATCACTTTTTGGTTTTCCCACTTTGTGTCGCTTCTTAAATCAAATATGTGTATTTTTAAGTTGGAACTGTTTCCACCTATGAAACCTTCCCTGTCCTTTTCCTACATTGAACTTAGGCGCTCTTTGCTCTGTTTTCCGTACTGTTTGTCACCGGCTGACACTCTGTGCCACTTTCTTACTATGTTTGTCTGCTTCTCCCAACTAGAGTGTAAGTCCATGAAGGCAGGGATTCTTGTCTGTTTTGGTCACTGGTGTGTCTCTAGAATGCTGTCTGATAACGTAGTAGGCACTCAGTAAATACTGATTAATGAATAAGTACACTGGGGAAAATTCAGTTACACATTCTTGGCGACCAAGAGAGAAAGAAGTGGCAGATTAAGTTTTAGCCATTTTTACACAGTGAACCCTTCTTTCATAGAAAAGAGTTTGCCCCATAACTTTTATGAGGGAGCATGGTACTGTAAACTGTTGTTGGTTTTGATAATGATTTTCAGTTAGTTATTTATCACTGCAGAACAAATTGCCCCAATTTAGCAGCTTAAAGCAACACACAGGAAAGTCCGGAATCCAGGAGCTGCTTGAGTGGGTCCCTCAGGGCTGCAGTCACAGAGCTGGGCAGGGAGGTGCTGGGGCGGGATCCAAGGAGACCCGGCTGCCTGCTTGCTCCCTAGACCAGTTCTGGGCGGAACACCACCAAGGCAGAGGCTGTCTTTGGTAATCTGGCCTCAGTGGCCGCGGACTGTCACTTCAGTCCTGTTGTTTGAGTCACAAAGAGCAACTCTGGTTTGATGTGGGAGACAGCTCTCCAAGGGATCACAGGGCCATCACTGGAGGCTGTCCTGCAATAGTTTTGTCCATATCATGAATACAAAATTACAGAATTAAAAAAAAATTACAGAATTTTAAAGTTTTTTCCTTCCCTTCCCCCCACTTAGGTGTATATTTGCCTTGATTCTGTAGAAAATTGCACTCTGTGTAACCAGCATAGCGACACAGAGGACAGTGGAGTCGCCTGGGAGTCTGATTCTGAGGGCCTGACTGAAGCCCTGCGGAGGGTCAACAAGAACGTGGAGGCATTCCCTCCTCTGACGGACTTCCGGACAGGTGCGGACTCCTGAGTGCAGGGGGCTCCTAGGGGAGCCGTCTGAGACGGCCCTTCCTGAGGCTCACTTTACATGCACGACCTCTCTCCTTGGGCACTTTCATTCCCCAGACTCAGGCCGCACTGTACAGCTGCCTGCGTGAAGAACGCTTTTCTGAGCCACTAGCTCAAACTGTGACTACTTAGTATTGGGACCTAAATGGCAGTTACTTTCATTGCAAGTCGCCTAAACTGATCCTTCTGGAGTCAGGGCAGGAGAACTCGGGTTGTATCCTGTCCTGTCAGGATGGGTCAGATCCCACTTCTCTTCTGTCTAATCCATCCTGCCATCTTTAGGAAACAGTGGGATTCTCCTGCGAGGAAGACGCACCTAGTTGCTGGCGCTGACGGTTCCTAAACACCAACAGTGGTGTCTGTGTGTTTTTATCAACACGTGACAAATAGAGATATATTTATTCTTGGTATTTTACATGTATCAGAGGGTATTTTAGCAAAGTAAAACACTAGCCTGATTTCACTAAATGAGATTTTAATCACTTGGGAGCCATGTTTGGCTGAGAAACAGCATTTGCTGTTCCCTCTGCCTGGAATTGTCTGGAAGGTATAGCAGAGTCACTGCCCAACTCTGCACACACTGCAGGTCTTCCCCATCCCGCCTGCACCCACCCTGCCTGCCTGCTCTTCTCCATCCCACCTCCCCACTTTGTAAGCATGGGGGGTGGGGGGCAGAGCACTGCAGGGCTGCTGCCAGCATGTGGAAGGGCACCTGGTACAAGTCGGTGCCTATAAATGTGTCGAATGAGTGAAAAAATAAACTCATTATGATTTTTTATTTTTGTTAACTCATTTATAGTCTGGAAGAAACAATTCCTTCCTTATTATATTCTTGTCTTGAGGGAATTTACATAGTCTCTGCATAGCATGGTAATTCATGGACCTATACATGTATTATTTGTGCATTTTTCTGCAGTTATTTTATTCAAGTTTTTTTAAGCATAGATATGTAAAGTTGGTTTATAGACAAATGCATATGAAATATGTACATTTGAATGAGAAATTTATATTGAAGGAGTTGTTTTATGGGTTAAAATAACATGACAACCTCGTGAGTTTTTAAAAGTCCTCCTTGAGGTGAAACTTCAGTCATCGCTTGAGGCTGAAGATGGTGAGAGCTGTCTCCCCTGCAGGCAGCTCTGTCGGAGGGGCTTCTTTCCTGTTCTGCTGATAACTCAAAATGATTTGAAATTAAAAGTCTTTGCACATTAAAGTTATGTGTACTTAAATGCAGCTTGCCCACAACCACATTTTTCTTTGTGGAAATTGTGTGGAGGAGAACGTGACACGTGGCGTGAGGGGTGAAAGTGGGCAGGACAGGAACCTGAGGTCTGCGCCCTCTGAAATCTAAATGTGTGTTAACACAGAGGAAGTAATACTGCACTGGTTTTCCACAGTTTTACTCAAGCCTGGCATTTATTAGCAGACACTTTACTGAGCAGTTGCTTGTACCAAGTACACACGAGAACTAGCGGGCCACAGAGGAGGGGCGTGCACACCCAGGACAGTATGAAGTCAGCTCATATTAAAGGTGTGTGCACGTTGCCACAGGCTAACAGCGTAGCAGTGATTAGCAGTGGTCAGGGCTTTGATAAAAGTCATGGTAGAGCTGATCTTTCTGAGATAAACTCCTGTCTTTCAAAGGGCACAGGGAACATTCCAGAACAGGGAACCGCTGTGAGCTGAAGTAGAGGTAACACCTGAGGTTATGTGGTCAGGTGGGTTGGGAGTAGACTGTGAAGAACCCTGTAAATTGCAGTCTAAGGACTGAATACTGCAGACAGTTAAGATCCCACTGAAGACTTAAATAAGAGCTCAATGGAGCTGAAGTTTCAGCTTGGTGGTTTTGTAGAGAATGGATTGGAGGAGGTCAAAGTTATAAGTAGGAATAAGAGAAACCATCTTACTGTCCTTTGCATAAGACAAATGAGAAGACATGGGGGGGGGTGGAAAGTGGGAGCCGTGGCAGGAGGGCCTGAGCCGTGGGCAGTGGAGGAACCAGGGACCCAGAGAACAGGAGACATGCCTTCTCCAAAATTCCTTGCTTAGGAATTAGGAGAAACAAGGTTTATAAACTATAAACAGCAAAGAGACCACAAGCCAGCATGGCTGACTGTTGAGTGTTTAATTCTGAATAATGGTTATATGGTGACTATATTTTCTTTGTACTTTACTGTATTTTTAAAAAAAATTTTTAAAAGGTAATGTAATTTTTCTCCTTTTTGTCTTTTCAGAAATGCCTTGCCTTGCAGAATATGATGATGGCTTATGGTACAGAGCAAAGATTGTTTCCATTAAGGAGTTTAATCCTCTAGCTGTCCTGGTACAATTTGTTGATTATGGATCAACTGAAAAGCTGACAATAAACAGGTTAAAAAACAACAACAAAAAAAGTAAACCTAGTTGAATTAGGATTCTTAGTATTTTTTTAAAAATAATTACTGAAAAGATTTTGCTTCTTTTAAAAGAAAAAGATCTACTTTAAAGTTGCATATATACTGGGAATTTTTTAAATCTAGAAGTTGTTTTTTTATTGTGGTAATATATACATACTGTAAAATTTACCATGTTGGCCATTTAAGTGCAGTCAGTTGCCATTAAGTATATTCAGAGTTTTGTGCAGCCATTGCTGCTGTCCATTTTCAGGACTTGTTCATAATCCCAAATAGAAACTCTGTGCCCATAAACAATAATGCTCCGTTTTCTGTCCCCCAGCTCCTGGTAACCTCTGTTCTGCTCTCTGTGAATCTGCTGCTTTTAGGTTCTTCATAGGAGTATAATTACACAGTATTTTCCTTTTCTGTCTGGCTTATTTTACTTTGAATAATGTTGAGTTCATCCAGTTGTAACATGTATAGAATTTCATTACTTTCGTGACTAATATGCCACTGTACGTGTCCTGCACTTCTGTTTCCTCATCTGTTGGTGGCCACTTGGGCTGTGCATAGTGCTGCTGTGACCACTGATGTGTGAGTCCCTGCTTTCCACGGTTTGGGGCGTATACCTGGAAGTGGAATTGCTGGATCATACATGGTAGTTCTGGGTTCAGTTTTTTGAGGAACTGCAAAACTTTTCCGTAACAGCTGTGCTGTTTACACTCCCACCAGCAACAGAGTTTGTTTCCTCCACTTCCTTGCCAACACTTATTTTCTGGGTTTTGTTGTTATTGTCTATAATATTTTTTTAAATTGTGGTAAAATACATGAATCATAAAATCTACAATCTTACCCACTTTCAAATGTATAGTTTAGTGTTAACTATACTCACATTGTTAGTGCAGCCAGTCTCCAGAACTCTCTTCATTTTGCAAAACTGAAACTCTTTCCTCATTAAACAATTCCCTTCCCCCTCCATCCAGCCCAGCAGTCACCACAGGTGCCTCATACGAGCACATCCTTTTGTACCTGGCTTACTTAGCGTGACAAGGTTCATCCACGTTAGAGCATGTGTTAGAATTTCCTTCCTTTTTAAAGCTGAATAATTCTCCGTCATACATACATGCTGTATTTTACTTACCCACACACCCATCGGTAGGTACTTGGCTCTTGTGAATAATGCTTTGAACACAGAGGTGCAAATACCTCTTCAAGACCCTGCTTTCAGTGCACTCAGAAGTGCTGGATCACATGCTCCCTCTAGTTGTAGTGTTTGGAGGAACCAGCGAACTGTTTCCCACAGCAGTTGACATTCCCACCACGTGTCTAGGGTTAGTGTCTCTGCATATCCTCACCACACCTGTTATTTTGGTTCTTAATAGTGGCCATCCTGATGGCTGTGAAGTGGTGCCACGCTGTGGTTTTGAGTTGCATTTCCCTGATCAGTGGTGTTGACCCTCCTTTCAAGTGCTTGTGTATCTCTTCTTTGGAAGAGTGTCTTCCCAAACTCATTCTATGAAGCCACCATCACCCTGATACCAAAACCAGGCAAAGACACTCTTTGGAAGAGTGTCTTTTTTTAGTGTAAATTTTCCCTCTTTCTAGGTTACCTTTTAACTCTTTTGTGTCCTTTGCAGTTTTTGATTTTGATGTAATCAAGTTTTTTCTTCTGTTGCCTGTTTTTGGTGTCATATCCAAGAAATCGGTATCAAATCCAACATCATAAACTTTTCCCCTAATTGTGACATTCTTTAAATTTGTTAATGTAAGAATTTCTTTTGTGACAGACTGCGTCAGATTCCTCTTCACCTGCTGCAGTATCCAGCCCGAGCCATAAAGGTCCTCTTGGCGGGCTTCAGACCTCCCCTAAGAGATGAAGGAAAGACGAGGATTCCATACTGTCCCAGGTGGAGCATGGAAGCCCTGTGGGCCATGATAGACTGCCTTCAAGGAAAGCAGCTGTACGCTTCTTCCGTGGTAAATACTTGTCGCAATCAGCCAAAACACCCTCAGAGCTACTTCAAGGATCCCTATTAAATTTCCAAAGTGCTTTTTATCTAAGCAAAAATGCTTTAAAGCTTATAATGTTGTAAATACTGTAGGATTTATTTTTTAAGTCTTGTTCAAATGATGTCTTGGTTTATATTTAACAAACTTTTTATTAGCCCTGCAATGATTTAAGGTATCAGTGATGGCAGTGACCAGGATAAATGATCAAATGAGTATCCTGTAATCAAAGAATGTGCAAGTCCGTGAGGGAAGTTTGTAAACCACTAAGATAAGGAAGAATGAAGTGAGTGCCGTACAGAAGCTACAGGTGTCTTTGGGGCTGTGGTGCAGGAAACAGGAATGATGATTTCCATCTGGAGAGGCCAGGATGTGGTGTTGGACTGCATTGTAGGCACTCGGGCACTTCCTGAGTCAGTAGTACAGGAAGTGATGTTTGAGCTGCATCCTAAAAGATGAGCAGGAGAGACCAGAACGGGGATTCTGTCAAAATCATAGAGGTTTGCATTGTACTCATAACTGTACTCATTTTGACTTGTTTAATGCAGTAGAAACTGTATCAAAAGGTTCAAATAAGAAAATCCAGGTCATGTTTAGTATATTCTTTCTAACTTAGAGGCTCAGTCACATCTGGCCTGCACCGTTTGACTCAGTGCACGGCTATTTTAAAATTGTAGAGTTCTACACACACCCACCCCCAGAAGTCTGTACTTTTGACTTCTAATTACGTGTTGGAAAATCTAGAATGCCTAGGTCTGCCTTCTGAAGTCGGCTGACGTCCCCTCAGATGGAGTCAAGTTCTCAATCCGCCCGTCCTCACCACTGCTGTTTCAGCCCTGCTCCCCTGATTTGGGACCCGGGGTTTAGGGATTTCCAATACATTTCTGGTACATTAAGAATGAGCCCTTAACGAAGCAGTGCTGTTACTAGAAAGTGCTTTATGAAAACCAGTGTACATGCCATGCTCCTGCCTGTGCAGTGTTCTCTCAAGAAGCCAGTGAAAACACTAGCAGGGCAGGAAGTGTTACTACATGTGTGTCCACCTCTGTGAGCAACACTCGAAATGTGGTCAGTTTATGCATAAAGCTGTGACGCTTCCTGTGTAGAATGTAAATGAATTTTAACAGGGGTGAGATGGCAGTGTTAAGGCTGACCTAGAAGAACTCTGGGGAGGAGCTGCATTTTAAATGAAGCAGAAGATGGAAAGAGTGGGGTTTAGCAGGAAACCATCACAAACGCCTTTTCAGAGTACCGAGTATAGACCGTAAACCTTTCCCTCTTGTCGGCTGTAGGACAGAACAGGCCACGAAGACATTACGGTGTTTCCTTGACAACCGCCTTTTAATTTCAGGCTCAGGCACCAGAACAGACAGTGATGTTGTATGAGGACGAACAGTATCCGGTCCACATGTCACTAGTGGAGATGGGGCTCGCAGACCGAGATGAGTGATGTAAGTGCCGTGACCTCCTGCTCTCCCTGCAGCCGGCATCGGGCTCGCGGCTGCAGAGTCACACTCAGCTGCCCAGAAAGGCCAGAGGTGTCCAGGCAGCGACAACAGAGCTCAGCAAGAATCCCTCCTAGTTTCTCCTTCGGGGCCCTTCTTACCTGTGGCGCCCCAGCAGCTCCGAGGGTCCACGGCTGTAAGAGCACTGCACGGGCTGTGCTGCCTGTTCTAGTCCCGGGCGCTTAGGGGTGAGGAGAGGAGCAGACTGTGGGCACTTCCGTCGCTCACTTTAAGGGCATGGCCGTGGGGGCACGCACACACTGGTGCATAGTCGTGTCCTGGCAGCAGCGTTATTAAAGTACTTGGGTAAACAGCTCCTCTTTGTTTATCCATTCACATAAATGTAACATGATTCAGTAACTAGATTTGAACATTAAGCAAAGATGTGAAATAACACATTTTGTTTTTCAGGCACACAGTGCAGAGCGTCCACAGCAGCCCAGAAGAAAGTTTTCTGTTTTCTGTAGACCATTTCAGGTCTGTTTTGATTTGTTCTGCAATAGTACTGGCTCTTTTTTTTTTCCCTAACATATTGAACTGTTAGGAACTGTTTGAAAAAAGTTAATAAATACTTGCTTTCAAATACTTATTTTACTATAGTTTTTAAATGGAAGATTTTAGGCACATTAAACATTTAATCTGTTCTATAACTAATGTATATTCGACTTAAGAAATAAGACGTGGTCAGCGCTTGCAGCCCCTGCACCGCCCTCCCCCAGTCATTCTCTTCCTGCCGCAGATGTGAGCGCTGCTGTGGCTTTGGTGTTTGTCATTCTCCTGTGGGTCTTTGTAACTTTACATGCATACATAAGGCACTTGCATACAGGACACAGCACTGCTCTGTGCATGTTTAAGTGTGTGCAGTATCACGATCAGTTTCCCTTCATTTCTGCTGTTTACCCACATTGGTGTGCACAGCTGTTTTATTCACTTTCATTCTTATATCCATTTGTGCACATAACTTACTCTGTTATTAGATATTTAGGTTGTTACCAGTTACTTCTCAACTACAAATAACACTACTGTAGGACCCCTCACGTACCTGTGAGGGGTGTTCTGGTAAATGTGCTTACTAGTGGAATGTACTAAGTCATGAGGTAATAGCTTTCCAAAAAGTGGTTTTACCAACTAACCCCACGTCAGTAGTCCAAGTTCCTTGCCAACACGTGGCGTGGCCAGGCCATTATTGGCCGGCTTGTGACACCAGTACAGAAGGTGTCTCACTGCTTTAATGCACTCACTGGTTTAGTCACTTGTTTATCACTTACTCACAGCCTTTGTCCATTTTTCTACTGAGTTGTTTGTAATTATCTATCTTGACTAGGAGGTGTTCTTTCTGTGGTCTGGCTATTAACCGTTTCTCAGATTTACATACCTTTTCAGAGTCTGTGGCTTAAAGTTCTCTTTTCTGGTATCTTTGGACAAACAAGCTTTTCACTCATCAACCACTTAAGGTTTGTGCTGTGTCTCATTTAAAAATCCTTCTCTATCCTGAAGTTAATATATAATTCCTTATTTTTCTTTGAAAAGTTTAAAACTTTCTTAGTTTTTAAATCACATGAAATTAACTAATGCAGGTACTTTTTAAACTGACTTATTGCCAACACGACTGTCAAATTGTACTAGGTGACTAGACCAAACTTGATTATGTAAATTTGCTTGTAGGTGACCTGCCCCTCCTTCTAGGACGTCCTGCTTCTGTCGGTCCAACCTTAGGGCTGTAACGTGAAGGCACCTGTGGGCTGTCAGTTAACACTGCTGGTTGCTTTTCACGCCCCTGCCAGTTAGATCACCACCCCTGTTACATCCACTGTTCCTCACTGAGATCTGTACACACAGAAAGAGCTCCTCCACCTGTTTTACTGTTTGACTTATTTATTCACTCATTGTTTTAACTTCCCATTCTATAACCTCTGTGGCAGATAAAATGCTTTAATTTTGGTACTAACTGAACGTAGTAGTATTTTGACTGGAGGAATTGTCAGTCCTTCAGTCAGCTTTCTGAGCAAGACCTTGATGTGGTGATATGCTGGTGGGAAGTCCATGTGATGCTGTATTTCTTGTACCTCTAGGTTTTTATAACCATCTCCAACCAGTGAAAGCACCCACTTCCTATTTTTAAAGTCTAGACAGGTTATAACCATAGGAAGATAAGGTAAGTGAATTAAAAATGAAAGCTGTCCCTGTGCATTTCAGAGATTATAAAAAGCATCAAGTTTTATTTTACAACCCAAACAGCTGTTTCCATTTATGAATGTACACACACATAATATAACATATAAATTAAACCACAGGCTCCACAAGAAACACATCTTTTAACAAGAAAATCAAGTTAGTGTTATGTCATGATTAGTTACACACACGATCATTACAATTTTGTGTCCATTAGAACATTACCATCCTTGTCTTTAACTCTGACTCGACCAGACGTGTATTTTGTTTCCTGGTGACCATTTGTATACACAGTCTTAACAGTGCCGTCTGGATATTCCCGTCTCTTGAACTGAGCCGTGTGTAGCTCTCTTTGGCCATTATTAAACTCTATGATCTTGCTGCCATCTCTGTAAATGTAAAGTAGAATTTACTGCCTTTAAAAATACGACATACACAACAGGAAACCCTGGCAGCTAGTCCCTCCAGAGCATCCCTTGGTCCTTTTCCCTGCACAACAGCTCTGCAGATTCTCTCCTGTTTCTGCAGCAGGTGGACGGTTCCAAAGATAGGTAAGAACAGCTCTTAACACGTGCCCCCAAAAGTTTAATAAATTTGTTTTCACCACAAAATGCTTAAATTTCTTTAACTCTGCACATGCTTTGCCTTTAAAGGGGGGCAGGGGACACTGTATTAAAATAAGGCTTTCAGCTTTGACTTTACTCTTCCCACTAAGTTACAAGCCATCTGAGCGCCTGCTCTCTGTCAGGCTAAAGAGCGGTGCTCCTCGGAAGGCCCGGGCTGACTCGGCCTGCTCCGAGGCAGTGGACACAGAGGCAGAACATGGAAGACAGTTAACACCAAGGTGACTGCTTGATGCCTGTGGGGGACGTTCACTGAACCCCTAAATACAGGTGCGATGTGCCGTCAGGAGCAAAAGCCAGGGGTAAAGACTGGGAATCAACTTCTCCACACAGTGGGTTTTTTCCTATTTTGGTTACTTCTCAAATTTTACATGAACATAATGGCTTTGTGCCACCTGCAAGTGTTAGAGGGCCAAGCCATATGTTCATGGGGTGTCAGCATCCCCTGAGAACTCAGGAGAAATACTAGTCACCTGGGTGGGGCCCAGCTACCTGCGTCAGCAGTCCCTCCAGGGGCTTCCGACGCACCCTGAAGTTTGAGAACCACTGCTTAAGTGAAAAACCCCAAAATAATCCTGAGTGAACTGCATACTTGAAAGTTGCTAAGAGAATAAATCTTAGAAGTTCTCATCACAAGAAAAAAAAAATGTGTAACTGTGTGGTGATCATTTTGCAATATGTACAAATATTGAATCTTTGTACACTGGAAACCAATGTTACTGTTGATTGTACCTCAACTGAAAAATACTTCTGAATGAACTAATGTGTGGCCATGAGTTAATACCTGAAGATGCACAGAGGGATACAGGAAACTTTTCATATTATTTTGTTTTTATTACAGAAAATTTCAATCAAAAGAGTAAATTTTTTTTAAAGTTTCTGAAGTCACTCGAAGTATGGTGTCCACATAAGATTTTCCTCAAATTTTATTTTAGTTGAGCACCAGGTAAAGCGTCACGCTATGGAAAGGGGAACACTATCAGGGCCGTAGGAAGTTCCTACATTATTTGAAGTAGTGTTTTAACCCTTTTTTCCCCAAGGTTTATATCACAGAATTCAAGTTCATGGGCACTTAATACACTCCAGGAGAGGCGGGTGAAAACTGAAAAAATGGATCTGACAGATCTTCACCAGGATTTTAATTAAAATAGTGCCTTTAAGATGTTCTCTTTGTGGATTGAGAAAGTCGCTTCTGCCACTGTTTGGTTATTCTTAGAAACTGACAGGGCAGCTTTCCTTTTTTGTGTCTGTTTACAAATCTCACCAAAGTTATTTCTGGACAAATACTGCCCATTCTCTTTCCATGAAGCACTGTCTGGACTCCCTTTAGGTCTCTCGGCTCAAGACTTACTGGACATTAGAGTCCACCTCTAACTAGTCCTAACCTCCAGGAGGCTGAAAACCCGTCTCACCTGCTCTCAAATTTGAACTCACTGAAATTTTAAATGACTTAATGTTTTAAGATGTTAAAATTCTGGCTGGTTATAAAAGCTGAAAACTGGAAAATCCAAAACAAACTCAGCAAGTATCATACCGTTGCACTCTGACAACTGTACCATCTGGGAAAATGCTTTCTTCTTGTCCATCAGCAAACAAGGTTTTCACAGTCTGGTCAGGAAACGTAATTTCTTTTCTTCCATCTGGGAAATGTTTTTCTGTATAAAAAGGGGTCACTGTAACTTTTATTTTTAAAAGAAGAGAAGAATTTGATAATGAGAAGGCAGAGCAAGTCTTTACCTATCTGCCCACTGGAGAAATGTAAGACTTCCAGGCCTTCTGGGTAAGTGGTGTGCATGGTCCGGGCAGCTGCATAGAAGTAGACCTGCAAAGACACACAGCAGCGCTGCCGCTTCTCCAGAGCCGCCGCGGGCCAAGGAGAAGCCACGCTGTGGACACCTACCACTCTCTCATCTGGCGTGACCTGCTTGACATCACCATTGAAGAAAGTGACGGTGACAGTCTTGCCGTCCGCACTCACTTCTTTTCGAGTTCCATTTGGAAACAATATAACATGGCACCCATTCTTATAAACCTTTTCTATCTACACAAAAGAAAACCAAGATCATCAAATGTAAGATTTCCTCCTGGGACCACATGACAGAAATATCCATATTCTCTTAATTGCCTGCCTTCAAATTTTTCATAATAAAAATTGAAACATTTCTCAAGAGAAAAGTTAATAAACTCCGTAACAGCCAACGTCACCTGTCAACACATCACAGCTCTTACGTCACCCGTCCCCCAAGACAGACTTTCTGTGGGTTTTTTTTAAAGCAAGCTGCAGACATCACTTCCCCTGTAAACACGTCAACAGGTGTCTCTGATGGAAGGATTTTTAACAGAACCAAACCATCATCACTCCTAACAAACTAATTCCCTCATCACATCATAACCATCTGTACTGTTTTCCACAGACACAAAAAACGCCTAACAGTTGACTTCAATCAACAAGGTCCACACACAGCGCGTGGCTGATGTCTCTCTCTCATCTCAGTTTTTAACAGTCCCCTCCTTTCCCCCTTTTTAATGCCAACTGTTGAAGGAACTAGGTCACTGAACCTGTAAAATTTCCCACATTCTGGATTTGGCTAGTTGCTTTCCCACGATGGGGTCATTTAACATGTTCTCATATCCCCCGTTTTTCCTTAAAAAAAACAAAACAAAAAAACCCAGCAGCTGACTCGAGGCCTGACTAACGCCAGCTGTGCCCTCCTGACAAGGCGGCTCCGATGGCCACAGGCTCAGCAGCACAGTAAGCACACGGCCGCCTCGCGACCTCACAGGGACTGGGTCGCGTCGTCAGACCCGACAGCCTTCACCTAAGGGCTCAGGGTCACTGGCGGCTGCTGGCCGGCCTTTTATCTCATCAGAGGCTGCAAACTGCTGATTCTCCATTTCCTCGTCCCTTTTCCGTTCATCAGCTGGAATTCTGGAAAAGAAAACCTTTCCTCTTCAAGTCTGTTGCCCTTTGTACAGGAAAAGTCTGACCTCCTCCTCCTGACTGCTGGGCTTTGTCCCTCTCTCGTTTAAGACCAGCAGTGGGCCTCGGCCTCGTAATGCTCCTCAGGTCAATCAGAGCACTTGGAAAGGCGCGTGTTCTACAAGCTGCGGGAAACCCCACCACCTCTCTAGCAACAGACCCTCATCATTCATTCTCACCAGAGCACCAGCCAGGCCGTTTTCCCACTCAAAACCTTTCCTGAGCACAGGAATAAAGCCGTCAGGCTGGGGCGCAGGACAAGGCACCTGATCCAGGAAAACCTCAAGGAGGCTGCAGAAAGGTAAGGCCCAGAACCGAGGGGGCAAAAAGTACCAAGGTTTACAGAAGGGTTTTTAGCTGTGTTTGGAGTAAGAAGCAGCAGCTTAAACAGGACTGTATTCCTTCTCTAGTTGCATCTCCAAACTCAGACATGGCAACTAAATGATGCTGTCTGTTGAACACTTTCAGAGGAGCCCAGAGAGTCGAGCTGAGGTCGTGCACCCAGGCCCCCTGCTCCTAAGCCCCCTCAACAGTCCTAAAGGTCAATTACTTTACAATGTAAGTGTTTCAAGTCCATTTTAACCCATGTTTATTTCTTACAGTATTCACTGGTTTTAAAAAAAAAAAAGCTTAACCTTTCCATCAGGATGGCTGATTGCTCCCTGAATTTCTTCTTTCTCCTCTTTCTCATCCTCCTCTTTACAGTCAGGATCTGGAAAGCTCACTGGCTCAGCGGGTTCCCTGGGGGAGGCCGTCTGTAAGGACAAGAGGCTCTAGGTCTGTCCAACAGGACATGTAATACATTTCAAGCAGCTAAAACTTCACTTTCATCCAAAAGCCAGATTCCACCATTACAGGGTTCTACAACTAGTGCTTGGTGTCACACAGAAAACTCCGTTCAGTAAAAAGCTTCCTGTATAGACAATTTAGAAACTTAAGCCAGTTAACCAGTCAACTTTAAGCCTGAGTAATTTGTTGAATATATAAAAATATAAAAAGGTTTACTTGTCCTTGATCCGAACTGCCTAAATCATGCGGAGGCACAGACTTTGACCTTCGAGATGGACTGCCTGTGAGAATGTAATTGTCAGGGTTAGTTTTATTATTTAATTGAAAGTTTTAAACTGACTTAATATTATGGCCAAACATTTCTTTAGTTCACATTCTTCTGTGAACTGTCCTTCACCCATTATTTAAGGAAGCCTTGGTATTTTTCTTTACTAATTCCTAGACATTCTTCATTATATAAATCCAATATTTATTCAAATACTTAAGTCCTGGATGACCAAGAAAGAGTTCACAATGTGGAGGAAGAGACAGCTGTTCAACTAACCTAAAAGACGGACCCCAGAGTATTCTTCCATCAGGGGTAGATACGGGGCACAGATAACAGAAGCATCCAAGAATACACACAGAATTCGATTTGAAACAAGTGACCAGGTATTTAATTAAAATCTAGGCCTACTGGCTGTGGTATAGACTTTTAGGATCATGACCAACACACCACTCATACACTGTATCAGTAACATACGGTATAAAAGCATGCCGCCACCGCCACCGCCACCGCCACCACCACATGGAGGTGAAGTTAAAAACACACAGAGGTTCTAACATTTCCTTCCTATCTGCCAATGGATATTACAACCACTCCCAGGCAGAAGGGCTTCAAGCTAGTGCCAGGATCTGATTTAAATCCTAAAATCAGACTGGATACTGGCTGCTGCGGGGGAAGAGACTACAGAGGAAGAGAGGCAGACACCCTGTCGGGGGGCTGGTGGGCACCGGGGGAGGCTCATGTGGTGTCCAGGGAGAAAGCAGGCTTTCAAGGGCACTGGGTCACATCCCTGTCCACAGGCCCCAGGAGGCCAAGTGTCAGCAGCTGAATTGATTCAGAAAACAAGCACATCAGAAGGGCCGTTCAGGGACCGATGGGAGGCGAGGGAGGATGGAGGGAGGGGGGCCGCTGGGAACATGCTTCTCCACCTCGGCAGTGCTAATCCAAGTATTTCCTTCATAAATGTCAAACCACGTTATAGCCACTCTCCTAAATTGTGTTCACAAAAATAATTTCTAAAACTTCCAGGTAGATTAAACACCCAGCTTTGAAAACAAAAGTTCATAGGAAAAAAGCAGTGTATTTGTGACCTAGTGATTGAGAAGGATTTGTTAAAGGCATGAAAAGCAAAAACCATTAAAAAAAAAAGTTGAAAATTTAATATTAAAAGGAAGAGCATGTATGTAAAATCACAAACCAAAAGGCTAAATACAGATTGATACTGGCAGTGCTTATGAATGACAAAGCAGGCAGAATGATTAATTTCAATAAGGGAAAACACACATAGTTTTAAATGGGCAAAAGAAACAAACAGGTAATTCACAAAAAAGGAAAACCGAATGTCCACTAAATATGAAAAGCAGCTCACGTTACTGCACCAGTAATCAGGGAAATGCATATTAAAATTACACTGACCCACCACCTCACACCCGTCTGACTGGCCGTAAGTTTAAAGTCTGAGCAGACCGAGTGCTGACGAGCAGAGAGAGCATATTCTGCGGACGGCAAGGAGGGAACTGGTCAAGCCGCTCAGCAATGGGAAAGCCTCCCAAAATCACACAGACCTGACACGTGTCCCAGGTCTGTCCTGCACCCCACTCACCCCGTGACGAACTGCGGGAAAACCTGAATGTCCGTCAACAAGAAAACTGGCAAACACACATGGAATCTGTATAGCTACTAAAATCAACAGCCCAGATGCACACGTATCAATGAGGGTGCTTCTTAAAATACTGAGAGAAAAAGGCAAATTGCAAGGGATGAGGATGAAACAACACCCCAAACTGACTTCTGGATACAACGTAGTAAAAGAATGAAAAACAAGAAAGGCAGTGCTGTCACGGTGGGACTAACTGGGAGCAGGGCACAGGGGCTTCGGTTCCACCTCTTAAGTTGGGGTACAAATTTCCTATGCTTTAAATTCTTGAAATGTTTTATAAAAAGATCATGCAACTTCTTACCTTGTGTTGGCAAATAATTTTTTTTGTGCCTTTCTACCTGGGTTCCTGAAGAAATCGGACTCTTCTGAAATCGAGCTGATGGATTCTATAGTATGAGAAAATTTTGAACATGAAATCAGTGTTAGTCTACACATGCGCTCCGTGAGCGAGCGGAGAACTGGGCTTGTGACAGGCAGGTCCTAAGCCTGTGTTTCTGCTGCTTCCTTTCATCACTAAGGCCGAGTGAACAAGCTGTTATCCATGAACAAATGATGCACACATCACCTTCAGAAATATGTTCGTTCTTCAACTGAAGGCACAAGGAACAACGCAAATCCAACAGGTCTCTGTGACTGTGCCAGGGTGGCCAGGAGAGGGAGGAACCCACGTTCACCACCTGCAAACCCCCGACCTCAGCCTTCCTGTGGGCGCCTCTCAGCGCCCCGCTCTACTCGGAGAAGACTGCTCACACTGTCCCCACTGCAGACAGAAGCTTCTCGCTCCCCAGGCTTAGCGGTCACGTAGGTGTCCCCCACCCCCTCCCTAACCAGCCCTGCCCGCTGAGCCTCCAGTCCGTGTCCCTGTCCCTGCCCCTGTGGGCGGCCTGCATGACCCTGACCTTCCTTGATACAGACACAGCTCCACTCGACATCTGGAAGGCGTTTCAAGCTCGCCTTGTCCAAACCTGAGCTCCCACACCCAGAGAAACACGCTCTCCTCCTGGGGAAACTCATAATAAATGGCCATTAAGCCAGAAACACAAAACTCAACATGGAAGCCATTCTTGACCCTCTCCAGCCCAGGCCATCGCTAAACCCGCCTACCCCCCCAGTCTCCGCCACCATCACCTGGGTCTGAACTGGGCCTGAATGACTGCCACAGCCCCCAAGTGTGCTCCTGACCGTGCCCACACTCCCTGCTCAGTCTACCCTAAATCCACAGCAGAGATGGGCCGCCTGACAGGAAGAGGGGACACCCCACACACAGTGCCCTCCAGGGGCTCCTGTCTCCCTCAGGGGGAAGAAGCCAACGCTGACAGGGACGTACTAAGGCTGCAGGAGAGCTGCACCCCCACCCACCCCATCTCCCCAGGGCTCTGCTCCAGGTGCACCAGCCTCAGGCCCCTGCCCACTCTGTGCTCCACCCAGGTCTCATCCCGGCTCCGCGCCCTCCTCGGGCCACTGTTCCAGTGTGGCTTTCTCAGCAGGGCTTCCCAACCCGTGGCCCCGTGACCCTGTGACCCCGCTCCTCAGCTCCTGCCCAACAGCACACACCATCTTCCCACCTTCCCCTAGGGGACAAGGACGTCTGTTCCCTTGACTGTGTGGCCCGCCTTGCCTCGAAGCAGCGTCTGGTACATCACAGTTGTGAACACAGATGAACAAAAAAACTGCCACCTGATTCAAAAGGATCAGACACCCCCCCCACAAAAAAACTGCAAAAACTTCGCTTGGCCTGCTTAAAAGCTGAGATTACCTGCCTATGGTGCTGGAACACGCTGGAAGAATTACAAAAGTGAATGTGAAAACTCCGTTAAGCAACGTACACAAAGAGGTACCTACTGGAGGTAAGACGCACACGACGCACACCCATCCGGGATGCATTTGCACTGCCGCACCCAGACCACCCCCACCCCTGCCTCCTGCAGCAGGAACCGCCCTCACTGCACAACGGCCCCTCACCCCGCCCGCCCCGCGGGCACTCTCCACACCCGTCCATGGCCCTGAGCTCTCAATCCCAGCACCTCCCACCCGAACAAAACCTACCGTGGCCCCCTCCCTCTGTGCGGCAGCCCCACCCTGGCCCATCCCGGTGCTGCTCTCAGCAGCCTCTGCTCTCTTCCAGGCGTCCAGGCGGAATCTCTCCATCACTTTGATTTCCTCCCGGAGGTCTGTGTTCTCTCTGAGCAGCATGTCTATCTGGCTTCTAAGACGGCCATGCGCACTGGACCATTTTGCTTCCTTTCTTTTCAAGTCTTCCTGTAAATCCGCTATCTGCTGCTTCAAAGCCTCTCAAAAAAAAAAAAAACCCAATTACTGGAATTAGAACAATGCAACAGAAGAGACAAGACACATCACTGAGAAAGCATCGCTGAGCCGATCACATCTCAGTAACACTGGGTTTCTCAGGAAAAGGAACAGGATTCAGGTTTGAGCCTCACCTCATATCAACAAAATTAACGCCAGAAATCAGGAGGAGGAGGGGCAGACGCCACTCCGGAGTCAGTGCAGGGACACTGCCACGAGGGATAAAGGTCTGAACTGTGACACCAACTGAAACAGGAGGAAAGGGAAAGGGGGTTGTCTGGTGGAGGGCACACCAAGAGGGATCCACGCTAACACAGGGAGAGCAGAGGTGAGGAGAGTACAAGACTGCAGGTCAGAACTCCGGGCCTGAACGGGTCTATCTGGGACTCACGAGAAGAGCCAGGTCTGAGAGACGAGCTGCTCCCGATGGACTGCACAACGTAAGTGAGGGAACTCCTGGAAGTGTCTGGAAGCCTCTGGCAACCCTACAAACAGAAGTCGGCCCCTGCATGCAGCCAGGTGCAAGGTACGGGGCGTGACCGAGAGCTGGGGAAGTTCAGACAGAAGCAGGACAGCGCTCCCCCACCAGAACCCACTGAGCCGTGAGACCGAAGGCAGCAGGGGCCCCGCACAAGACCCAGCACCCACCCGTTTCCTCCAGAGCTGCACAACAGTCAACCACACGGCACAGGCAACGGAGGGAGAGGCCAGGATCACAGGGCACAGACTCTGGATGTGGGTGAGATCGAGGCTCAGACCCCAGTTCTGTGCCTTGAAAGCATTTGAAACAAGGTCGTTACAAGGTCCCTGAACATCTGCCTCCCCGTTTGTAAAACCGTGGAATACAAAATGAGCACCTTCTAACTGGCAGGCATTATCATCATGCGGGGAAATAAGCTTCTTACTACGAGAACAGTAACATCCAGGTCTAGATGAGTTAGAATTCAAAGGCAAAAAGCCAGAGACAGACCAATACGGTATCGTATCACTAACATGTAGCACCGAGAGTGAAAAGCCGACTTCACAGAAACAGAACAGGGGCCGACTTCACAGAAACAGAACAGGGACCGGGGGTGGGGAGAGACAAGCTCCCAGGTGTAAGAGCACGTTCTGAGGAGCCTGTGCAGCAGGGCGGCTGGATTTAGAGAATCGTACATCTGGGAGCTGCGAGTGGATCTTAAGCATTCTCACCTCATGCGCACACACACACACAGACACAGTTCACCGCGTACGGTGATGGATGCGTTCATTATCTTGGTCTTAGTAATTATTCCATAATGTATACGTGTATCAAATAATCACACCGTGTACTGCAAATATATACAATTATATATTGCAACTATTCCTCAACAAAGTTAACAAGAATTCAAAAGCAACGTTTACAAGGCATCAGCTGTCTATCAGGCACTGTTGTGTGTCCTTGAACAAAGAACAAAACGAAGACCATGGTGGGACTACGCCAGAAGGTGATGCGGCAGAGCTGGAGGAGGGACACCGAGCTGCTGGGCAGGAGGCATGAGCGGGGAAGGTAAGGTGGCCTCAGTGACCAGCCAGAGGAGGTGGAGAGCCAATCGTCCAGGGAGGGGCACCCCCAGCAGTGCCAGCAAACACACCAGGAGGAAAGGCGAGAGGCCAGTCAGCTGGCGATGCCAGGGGAGGGAAGAGGAAAGTAGATCCGGGGGACTACAGGCCGCAACTGGAGATAGAGCAGGGCCCAGATACGGGGACAGAAACCACGGGACAAGGGTGGGACTGGGACCAGAAGCCAGGCAGCCGGTGAGTCCACTGATGCGGACACGGGAACACAGATCCGGCAGGTGCTCCAAAAAGACAGCAGAGAGAGGAGGCGTCCGAGCCTTAAATTATTACAAACAGAACTAGCAGAACTTGATGTGTAGTGGGGGAAACAAATTAACACAACTCCTGAATTTCCAACTCTTGGCTTGTTAATTAATCCATGTCATTACCACAGTCTTTTTTGAGGACGCCCTTAGTAAGAATTTACACACTTTACTCTTTAAAAGTCAGACTACAAAAGATATTCCAGATGTCTCAGATTATCTGTTGACTCAATGGCTGATTAATAAACTGACACCCAATTTCTCTTTGACACATCAAATAATTCTAAGATTCTTACAAGACTGTCATCTTTACTAACTTACATGAGTACAACGTGAAGGACTGACATACCTGTATCTCCTCCCGTTCCTTTTTATCTGGGAAAGTTCTTGCGACTGTAGAATACTTTTCAAAAACTTTGCGCTCCTTTTGTAACTTCCTCATTTCCTCCTTTTTAAATTCCTCTATTCGAGCCAATTCTTTTGCTCTCTGTTGTTCAAAGTCAGCAATTTCTTTCCTAAAATGACCAAACCATGTTATCATCTACGGAGAGTATCTCAATGTCATAATCCACCTGTGGTACCAAAATGGGGCACGAGTGACAGCCTGCAGTTGAGGAGCTAGTTTTCCATCTTCGATCCACAGGACTGAAACAAGAGTCAGTTACCTCAGTAAAGCATTTCTCAACAGGCAGTCACTGAGTTACCTACTATCAGCTAAGCACTGGAGAAACCACAGTCAAAAAATATACATTCTTACTCCTAAAGCTGCTTACGTTCTAGTGGGAGCAAAAGATGACAAAAAACAAGAAAAATCTATGGATCACTGGAAACGTCAAGGAGAATAATCAAGGAAGTTAGGAAATATGAGGGTAGAAGGAGGAAATTATGGATGGAGTCATGCTGCTGAGACAGCGTTTGAAGTAAAACCTGAGGGAAGTGAGAGAACAGCTGTGAAGATACCTGGACAAGACAGTTCAGGCAGAGGGAACACCAGGTGCAAAAGCCCTGAGGCAGGACTATGTCTGACGTGTTCAAAGAAGAGCCACGAGGCCAGCGTGGCTAAAACAGAGTAAGCAAGAGACAGACCAGCAGGAGAAAACTTCAAAGGAGGGGGGCTAATTAGGGTCTTACAGACCACTGTGAGGACTCTGGCATTAGTTTCGGAGAATGCTGATCAGAGGAGCTGGCATAACCCAGGTTCACTCGGATGCTGTGCAAAGAGCACCGGGTGAGGGCACCAGCAAGGCTGTGCAGTGAGAGGTCCCTGGCTCACACCCTCCCACACAAACAACAATGCGGCAGTCCTCCACAGATGAAAGTGCTTCTGTGGGAGCCCTAGGGTCCAGCCAGGAAGCTGAGAAGCCCTGGTGAAGCCCGAGATCAAGGGCAGCCACTCTGAAAAGGCAGGCTCACCACATGTGCTCCTGACTGCAGACTGAAAACAGCCCCACTGCCAAGGACCCAGGAGGAGGGAGCCACGGCCATCCACGCCCCTAGTAACAGACCCACACACCTCAGTCCCAACCACAGATCCTGACACAGCCCTATGACCGAGGCAATCCCACCTGCCAGGGGCCCACAGGAGCCACACCCACCCTCACCGCTGAAAACAGACCCCCTGTCTACAGACTCAACAACAGACCAGGAAACAGTCCCTTGACCTAGCTCTAGCCTGCCTGACCATGGTCCAAGGAGCAGTCCTGTCCTACAGGGGATCTGGCAGGAACAGCTGCCTGCAAACCCCGCAACAATCCTAGCAACTGTGAGCCCCACTGTGGACCCCACCAGACCACGACCCTGGAGGCGGACCCATCAGTAGTCCAGGGATCTGCATAAGAAGGTCTTCACTTGCCAAAACCAGTCTTAAAGGCGGGAAGAGGTGTTTGCTCCTTCAAATGCAAGACTGCACGGATCATAACGAATTAGGCAAACATGACGCCACCAAAGGGTAGTAATAAAGCTCCAGTAACCAACCCCAAACCACCTGGCCGCCTGACAGAAAATTCAAAATAATTGCTCTAAGGAAGCTCAGAAAGCTACAAGAGAGCCCAGATAAACAACTCAGCAAACTCAGAAAAACACAAGAAACAAAGAAGTTCAACAAAGAGACAGAAATCATTTAAAAAAAAAAAAAAGAAAGAAAGAAAGAACCAAACAGAAATTCTGGAGCTGAAGAATACAAAGGAATGAAACAAGGGAGCTTCAACAACAGACTTAAGCAGAAAGAATCTGTGACCTTGAAGACGGGTGATGTGAAGTTACCCATCAGAGGGGAAAATGAAAAAGAATGAAAAAGACTGAAGAAAGCCTACAGGACTTATGGGACACTATCAAATGAATCATTATACACATTATAGAAGTCTCAGGAAGTGAAAAAAAATCAACAAACCCTCACGACTAAAAAAAGAGAGAAGACTCAAATAAATAAAATCATAAATGAAAGACAAGAGATGCCTCAGAAATAAAAAGGAACACATATGAACAGTCACATTCCAAAGCACCTGATAATCCAGAAGAAAGGGATGAATTCCTAGAAACATACAACCTACCAAAACTGAACCTAAACGAAACAGAAAGCCTGAATGGTCCAATAACAAACAAGGAGACTGAATCGGTCATCAAAAATCTCCCAAAAAAGAAAAGCCCAGGACCAGACGGCTTCACGGGTAAATTCCACCAAAAATTCAAAGAAGAATTAATACCAACTCTCCTTAAACTCTTCCCTCCACCCTCTCACAAAAAGAAGGAATACTTCCAAACTCTCCCTGTGAGCCTAGTTACCACTCTGACAAAGACACAAGAAAACTACAGGCTAGTATCCCTGATGAACACAGACGTAAAAATTCTCAAAAAAATACAAGGAAACCAAGTTCAACAGTGTATTAAAAGCACTAAACACCATAACCAGGTGGGATTCATCCCTGGGATGCAAAGTCGGTTCAACACATGCGAATCAATTAATGTGATGTAAACTGGTACAGTGGAAAACAGTATGGTGGGTTCTCAAAAAATTAAATATAGAATTACCATTATGATCAAGCAATTTCACCCCTGGGTAAATACCCAAAAGAATTAAAAGCAGAAATTGAACAGATATTTGTACAGCAATGTTAACAGCAGCATTATTCATAGTAACTAAAGGTAAAACAACCCAAACGTCCAGCTGCAAGCCAAGGGATGCCAAGAATTTCCAGAAACCACTATTAGACAGGGAGAAAGCATGGCTCTGCTGACACCTGGGCCTCAGACTTCTGGCCTCCAGCACTGTAAGAAAATACATTCCTGCCGTTTCAGGCCTCCCAGTGTGCATGTATTGTTTCAAGCACCCTAGGAAGCTAACACTGTCAAGGGAGCACCTGAATTCATAGCGCCAAACTGCTTTTCAAATTTCAGCTTAGGACCTCATCACTAAGAGAATTCCTCTTCTAACACATCTTTGACCATAATGGGTCATTTAATCAAAAATTCTTATGTGGTATATTTTTCACATCCTTCTCATTTATTTTGCTAGATTAATAAGAATTGTTTCAAATAGTTTAGATATAATCTTAAAGATAAAGCTGAATGACTGTACATTTTTCCCCATTTATAGACACAAACTTACCTGAGTTTTTCCAAGGCATTTTCTCGTTCAATGCGAAGTTTAGCTAAAGATGTGTTCTCAGCTTTAAATTTTTCTATTTCTGTTTCCAATTCAATAACTTTCTCTCTCAAAACTTGAGATCGAGCACTGTCACCTATAAGCCACAAATACCGAACTTCACAAAAAGCTTTCAGCAGCATAACAATAGCTATTATATTCTAAGAGCCAAAAACCTGGTAAACTCCTGTACTGTTGAAGTGCATTAGAAACAATGCTTCTAAAAACAAAGAGAAAAAAATTTTAATGGCCTAACTTTCCAGATGAAACAGTCTAAATTTAAGAAAGAATCAAATTATTCTACCTCAAAAGAGTATCAATCTGATGACAAATTAACATTATATATAAAAAGAAATCATTCAAATAAATTTTTTAAACCAATATACATAAATAGCTTAAGAACATAAGTATTCACAAGAGATCTAAAGCACGAATCAACACCAAAGTTAAAGTTTCCCCTCACTAATTATGACCTTCTTCCGAATTAAATTTGCTATTTAAAAGAATAGCCAACGCATTCGTCTTTCAACTACCCTTTTGGAGAAAAGCTCTGATTTATGTCACAAGAGTAAACAACATATATGTACCCTCTGACCCATTTTTAAAACCCTAATTAAAGAATAAACTTATAAAATCATTTATTTTTGTACACGATATGTATTGCAGTGTTATTTCTAATAGTGAAAAATAATTTGTGTCCAATATTAAACAAATAAATGAGTAAAATTATGCTACATTAATATAATTCTCTGCAACCATTTTAAAGTACACAAAGGGTTTTAATGATATAGCCAAAGGATATTACACCTGGTCAAGCAGGATGAAGCAAGTTGTATGTCTCTACCACATTAAAAATACACAGGAAAAATGACTGGAAAGAAATATCCCCAGATGGAAATCACAGTTACCTTTGCATAGCTTAGCTATAAACATTTTTGCTTCTATACTTTTTAAGGTTCCAAACTCCCTGGAAAAAATACTATTTTTAAAATCAGAGTATTTTTGTAATAGCTTAAGTTATAACATATTATAAAGCACCTATGCTTTGCTAAACATTCAGAGTTTATAATACAACATGATATAATGGAAAAGTCTTTTTCAATGTAAGTTTAAAAAGTCACATCACATCAACTATATAGCCATTAAATAGAACGAGACAAATGTATGTGTATTAGAACAATCTTCAAAATGTATTATAAGCAAGGTGCAGAACAGTATATAAAAGGCATGTTTTCACTTGTGTAGAAAGAAGGATTATATACATATTCACACATATGCATGGAATCTTTTACTGTACACAAATGAAATGGAAAAGGTGATGACTCCAGGAAAGTGGACTAGAAGCCCAGGTCTGGAAAAAGAAGGAAACTTCGAGTTTACTGCACATTTTCTTAGTCATATGTAGCAGATTAATGCATGAGGTAGAAAAAAAGCTAATTTTAAAAAGTACGCACACACAGAGGTTCACTCTACAGTAACCCAAACCATAAACCAGGTATTCCCTGGTTATAAAAGAAACTTAAATGTCATCTCACTTTATAATGAATTAATTTTAAAGCCTTGGGAATAAGACAAAGGCAAAAACTTGAAAAATCTGAAATCACAACTCTTCCAAATCTCTCATACTACTATTACATTATTTAGACTCACAAATCAAAACTGAACAAATCACCTACTAGACTTTCACTGAGCAACAAGAAAGATTAGGATTTTAATAAGCATTCTGAAAACACACTGATAAAACATTAACCTTGTAATATTGCATTACATATTTCACAATGCTCTGACTTACCATGTGGTTGGTCTTGACTTATGTTTAACCTGGGTTCATTTCCCAGGCGTGGATCCGATTTCGATTTTGGTTTCAAAGAAGGGAAGAACTTCACCATTAGCTCTGAAGCAGGAGGAGGGCTTGTGCCCCTACTGGACCTGCTCACGTCTTCTCCCTTCTTGACCAGTGCAACCTTCCTTTTCATCGTTTTGTCCAGGACACACGTTTCACTCTTATTGGGGCAGGCTGTCTGGGGAGTCCCATAAATGGCTTCATTCCCAAGAATAACATCATGTTTAAATGAATTCTCTTCAAGGTCGGTCCAAGTTCTTTCATCATCAAAGTCAATTTTACTCACAGATGAGTGTCTTCTTGAGGAATCAGAAATTTTATTTCTCAAGCTTTCTATTATGACAGACTCATCACTACTGTACTCTTTATCAGACAGATCTAAATCAACATCTCTCCTTTTATCTTCTTGAGTCCTGGTGTCCCGAAAAGGTCCCTTATCATCACAGACTTGGGGACTATCTTCTCTGCTGATGAAACTCCCTTCTTGACCCTCCGGTAATGGTTTTACGGTGACATCAAGTTGTTCCTCAGAGTCAGTGCTCCCATCACTGTTCGCAACACCCTCATCATCGCCTGCATTCCACCCAGTCTGACTGTCACAGGTGCTCATCTGGAACACTCGCCTACCGACAATGCGGGATCGCTCCCGCGTTCCATCAGGTGAGGACACGAAACCGAGCTGCCCGGGTGCCACCTCACATCCACCCTTACCTTCACACTCAGCTCGGTCTGGATCCTCACTTTGGTGACCCTGACCAGTGGGATCTGGTGGGGCTGTCTTCTCTTGCTGCACAGCTTTGACAGGCGTCGAAGACAGCCGGTGACCTCTGCAGATCTGCTGGTCCCTCTCTAAGATCTTCAGTACAAATGAGGAATTACTGGAAAATGATATTTCATCAGCAGCTTGTTCTAAAAACAAAAATTCATCTAATTCCAAATTTTCCTTTTCCTTTTCCCGTTCCCAAGTCTCTAACTTTTTCTGAAGAGAAATGTCAAGAGATGATTCTGACTCTTTCAAGGTCTCACCCATCGGGCTCTTAGAAGCCAAGGAGCTGAGCAGCCCTGTTGAAAGAGGAAGTCTGTCTTTATCTTGTGTCTTATTCCGGATTTTGCAGCTCATGTCACAAGGCTTTGTACGTTCAGGTACATTTTCTTTATTATTAGATTCTACTTTCTTTTCTAAACTGATCTGGTCCCTAGGGTGCCCATCACACTTCTTCCCTACTGGGATGTTCAGTCCTGATGGAGAGAGACTTTTCCTGTTGTTACTCTTAAGCACTTTTGGCTTCTGATGGAGTGTGACAGAACCACTCTTGGTTCCAGCTCTACTCTTTTTACCAGGAAGGTTCTCTGCACACAGTTCTTTGTTTATAGGAGCAGTTTTCCGCTGGATTTGCTGTCTATCTAATTTACATACAGGTGGGTCCTCTGAAGCAATCTGAGTGGTCACTAGTTCACCTTCTCTCCCTTTCCGAATCTTAGATTTAGCATTAGTAAACCTAGCTAAACCTTCTCCTCGTTTTAAGAATGGCTGTTTCGGTTTTGCTTTGATGAGCAAGGATCCTTCTGCTTCCTAAAATAAAAGAACAACATTTGAATTAATTCTGGTATATCCAAGCAATTGCAAAGTTACTATTAAAGCAAATTACAAAGACATCTCTAAAGCCTTAGATAATTTAATCAAATAGCTGAGATGCTAAACTAACCCTTAGCTGTTTTTGTTTCAGTTCTTGTTCTTCCAGCCGAATTTGTTCTTCTAAGTAGTCTTCAAAAGTCTGTTTCCTTTCTCTAATGGCAGCTTTAATAGGCCTAGTCATAAAAATAAAGTTATTTAACATGCAAATCGTGATGTGAATACTGTACACTTAGTGTGCCTGATACAGCCAGCCTCAACTGAGAACTTTCCTTTTTCAAAGTCGCAGATGCCACTGGAGAATCTAATAAAAGCTACAATCCCACTCGACCTCCCCAAATACAGAAATACACAAAACTCTGCATGTGACTTGAAGAAGCCCTTCTGAAGTCCGTCTGCTACTCTTAGATTAACTTCTAAAGTAACATATTCAGTATCTTTTTAAAAATTTCAAAATTAGTTCATTAAATACACATTCTTTATGATCCTTAATAATATAAACAAAGTAAATCAAAAAAGTCATTCGCCATTCCATAACATACACTGAAATATTTGAATATTTAAGAAAACAATGAGCAACCTCATTACTGACATTTTGTCTCTGACATAAAATTTTTAAATTCTGTAACCACACTTACTCATTATTTGTAAGTGATACCTTATGTGACACTACAATATATGATTTGTTTTTCTCCTCTCCAAAATAGAATTTACCTATTTGAGAAGAAAGTTTTATCCAGGTATCTTCCTAAGGTAAAGAAACTTTGCTCAATTCTCCCAATACAATGTCAAAGCTACTTTAGCTGATTTATCTCCCCAATCTCTTTCTGTTGCTAACAATACAAAATAAGTTATATCTTCAACCCTATACTTAAAAGCAAATTCAAGCAAAAACAAGAAAACCATGGATCTTTCAAATAAAGACAGTGCCAATAATAATGACTATTATATTAAATTCCTTTCAACATGGATGATACCTTTCTTCAATATTAATCACTTCTGGGGAATCATCAATTTTTTTCAAGTTCATATCACCACCTTCCTGAACCTGTTCCGTCATTTTCTCCAAATATGGTAAAATACTTTCTCCTAGGATAAAAATTAGGAACAATTTAGTTCAAAAAAAGCAGATTGAAATTTTAAAACTTGAGAATTTTACAAATTACTATGCTAAAAAAAAAAAGTAATGTACACCATCTTTTCTGACCACAACAACATGAAACTAGAAATCAACCACAGTAAGAAAAACGAGAAAAAAATGATTACATGGAGACCAAACTACATGCTACTAAAAACCAATGGGGCAATGATGAAATCAAAGGGGCAATTTAAAAATACCTTGAGACAAACGACAATCACACAAATATCTATGGGATGCAGCAAAAGCAGCCCTTGGAGAGCAGTTCATAGTGATACAGGCCTTCCTCCAAAATCAAGAAAATTCTCAAATAAACAACCTAACATACCACTAGAAGACTTGGAAAAAGAGAAAAAAACAAAGCCTAAAGTCAGAAGGAAGGAAATAATAAAGATCAGAGAGGAAATAAAATCAAGACGTAAAAAAACAGAAAAAAAATAAAACCAATAAAACCAAGAGCTGGTTCTTTGAAAGGGTAAACAAAATCAACAAACCTCTGGCCAGTCTCACCATGAAGAGAAGACAGGGGACCCAAATAAAATAAGAAATGAAAGAGAAGAAATAACAACTGATACCAAAGAAATACAATAAACCGTAAGAGAATACTATGAACAATTATATGCCAACACACTGGACAACCCAGAAGAAATGGACAAGTTGCTAGAAACACAGCACACCAAAACTGAATCAAGAAGAAATAAATAATTTGAACAGACTGAACACTAGAAGTGAAATCGAATCCATAAGGAAAAAACTCCACGCAAACAAAAGTCCAGGACCAGATGGCTTCACTGGGGAAGCAAAGGAAAGGAAATGACATTCAAAACAAAAAGACAACCTACAGAATGGGAGAAAATATCTGTAAACAATGCGATCGACAAAGGCTTAGTTTCCAAAATATACAGACAGCCCATACAACTCAATAGCAAAAAACCAAACAACCCAATCAAAAAACAGGCAGAAGACCTAAATAAATACTTTTCCAAAAAAGACATACAGAAGGCCAACAGGCACATGAAAAGATGCTCAACAACACCAATTATTAGAGGAATGCAAATCAAAACTACAATGAGGTTATCACCTCACACCAGCTAGAATGGCCATCATTAAAAAGTCCACAAACAGTAAATGCTGGAGGTGTGGAGAAAAGGGAACCCTCCTGCACTGCTGGTGGAAATGTAAACTCATGCAGCCATTATGGGAAACAGTATGGAGGTTCCTTAAAAAACTAAAAACACACTTACCATATGATCCAGCAATCCCACTCCTGGGCATACATCAGGAAGAAACTCTAATTCGAGAAGACACATGCACCCCAATGTTCAAAGGAGCACTATTTACAATAGCCAAGACATGGAAGCACCTAAATGTCCATCAACAGATGACTGGATAAAGAAGCTGTGGTATATTTCTACAATGGAATACTACTCAGCCATTAAAAAGAATGAAATAAAATGCCACTTGTAGCAACATGGATGGACCCAGAGATTATCATACTATATGAAGTCAGTCAGACAGAGAAAGACAAACATCATAGAGTATCACTTATATGTGGAACCTAAAAAATAAAACAAGTGAACTTATCTACAAAACAGAAACAGACTCTCAGACACAGAAAACAAACTTAGTTACCAGGGTGGGAAAGGTGGTGGGGGAGGGATAAATTAGGAGTTTGGGACTAGCAGATACAAACTACTATGTTTAAAGTAGATAAACAACAAGGTCCTAGTGTATAGCATACGGAACTAAATTCAATATCCTGTAATCAACCATAATGGAAAAGAATATGAAAAAGAATATATATGTATACATAGAACTAAATGACTACGCTGTGCACCAGAAACTAACACAACATTGTAAGCCAACTATACTTCAATTAAAAAAGAAAAGAAAAGTATTGTATGCCAAAGGTTTTAGAACTCTCAAAGGTTTCTTTAATATGATAAAGAAAATCTACAAAACTCTAATTAAAACCTAACATTCTTCAAAAGGTTAACATTGGGGGGAAAAAATACTGTGGGCTTTGCTAAGTTAAAAAAGACTAAAGAGTTGTAACTGAATGTTAAACTTGATTGAATGCTGTTTTTAAAAAACACCTTTAAAAGGCATTTTTGGGATCACAGAGAATTCTAAAATGCATTTGCACAGTCAATGTCCCTAGGCATAATAATAGTACTGTGGTTATATAGAAGAATGTCCTAATTTTTGCTTGATGCATGCTGAAATATTTGAAATAATACAATGTCCGCATATTATTTGCAGTGAAATCACCCAGCAAATAATACACAGATGTAAACAGAGATATAATCTGAGGCATAGGTGTGTGTGTGTGTGTGTGTGTGTGTGTGTGTTATATATAAAAGTATAAAACTACATAAAGACAAACAGGGCAAAATATCAACTGTTGCATCTAGGTGGTGGGTATACTGGTTATCACTGCAGCGGTCTTTCAGTTATTCTGGATGTTTGAAATTTTCCAAAATAAAAGGTTAAGGGAGTGTATTGTTTAAAAAAATAAGGAAGAGATATTTGACCCTTCCATACCAAGGAATTACTCTAAATTAGGAACAAGGTATTATCCACAACAGTGCCCAATCCTAAGTAGTAGGTGTAGATACCTTCTGTAATATCAATTGTGTTTTTCTATAACTTACTCAAGAGAATATATTCATAAAAACACCGTAAAACTTGAAAATTAAAATTAAAAATGCTGCAATGACTCAGTCCTACCACAGAGAACATTAAACACTGGTACATTACTCCATGACTGGCATAATGACGACAGCCATTACGGCTACGGCTACGAAGAGTCATCCTGCAATTTGTTCTTGGAAAGTCCCAGACTCTATGTCCAGTTCTACGTCCAATCTAGGCTCAGTGGCTGTGCAACATGTAGGACCTCACAATTAAGGCCTCAGGGGACAGAAAAAAAAAACAGAAAGGACTCATCGTAGAACAACTACACAACCCTGTCAGTTAACTACAGAGGAGAGAAAAGTAAGTAACTCACCTACAGGATGGTCATGCTTTTCTTCCTTCAAATCCTTTTTTTTCACAAGTGCTTCTTGATATTGTGCCTCATAAAACAAATTGGGAGAAGCACCACTTTCTGAAGTTAAGACAAAATCCTGATGAGTAGTTTTACAGAAGTTTTGTTTATCAGGTAAAATGTTGGAAGGGTGTTTTCTTTCTTGGGTTTGATTCTGGTAGATACATGAAGGTAGGAAGGGCCTGGTTTTCTCCACAGCGGTTGAATTTCCTGGAGATCTGTACTTCTGGCTCTGGTCATCAGGCAGTGGAGTCAAACCTTGCAATTAGAAAAATCAACAAAAGTAACTACTTCCTATAACATTTTCTGTTCTACTTGCTACAAAATTTTCTCCTAAGTAATACAAATATTTCTTCCCCTCATTAGGAAACTATGTTTTAACAAAAATTTTAATGGAATTTTAGAAGTCCAAAGTGACCTTCGCATAATTTTGATTGAGTATATTTATTTCACAATTCATGTGCAGACAGTCTGTACACAGCAGGGCTGCAGCAACGCCTAACTCAGGAAGGCACCATTCATGCTCCACCATGAGCACTGCCTGGTGTCTCTGCAGCCCCTTAACAAACACAGTTAGGGGGAGAGCACCACTGTATGTAGTTACAACAATCTGAAGTGTGCCCTAAGGACCCACAACCGCTCTCACAACATATAAAGGTAACTCCCCACTGTAAACAAAACAAAGACAGTCCACTGAATGGGAGAAAATATTTGCAAACGATGTGCCTGACAAGGCCTTAATTTCCAGAATATACAAACAGCTCATATAACTTAATTAAAAAAACCACCCAATCAAAAAATGGGCAGAAGACCTAAACAAGCATTTCTCCAAAACTACAATAAGGCATCACCTCACACCAGCTAGAATGGCCATCATTAAAAAGTCCACAAACAGTAAATGCTGGAGGTGTGGAGAAAAGGGAACCCTCCTGCACTGCTGGTGGAAATGTAAACTCATGCAGCCATTATGGGAAACAGTATGGAGGTTCCTTAAAAAACTAAAAACACACTTACCATATGATCCAGCAATCCCACTCCTGGGCATACATCAGGAAGAAACTCTAATTCGAGAAGACACATGCACCCCAATGTTCAAAGGAGCACTATTTACAATAGCCAAGACATGGAAGCACCTAAATGTCCATCAACAGATGACTGGATAAAGAAGCTGTGGTATATTTATACAATGGAATACTACTCAGCCATTAAAAAGAATGAAATAATGGGGGGAGCGTATAGCTCAATGGTAGAGTGCATTCTTAGCATGAACAAGGTCCTGGATTCAATCCCCAGGAGCACTAAAAAATAAAATTAAATTAAAAATTAATTAAAAAATACATAAGGAAGCCTAATTACCTCCCCCAAAAAAACAAAAAAAAATTTTTTAATGAAATAATGCCATTTACAGCAACATGGATGGACCTGGAGATTGTCACACTTAGTGAACTCAGTCAGTCAAAGGAAAATACCATATGATATCACTTATATGTGGAATCGTTTAAAAAAAGGACACAAATGAACTTATTTACAAAACAGACTCACAGACACAGAAAACAAACTTACAGCCACCAGGGGAAAGAATGGGGGCAGTGGAGGGATAAATTGGGAGTTTGGGATTTGCAGATACTATATATAAGATAGGTAAACAAAAAGGTCCTACTGCACAACACAGGGAACTACATTCAATATCCTGTAATAGCCTATAATGAAAAAGAATATGAAAAGGAATATATATATATATGTGTAACTGAATCACTATGCTGTATACCAGAAATTAACACAACATTGTAAACCAACTATCCTTCAATAAAAAAATAAATTTAACAATAAAAACAACCAAAAAAGTAATCAAACTTAAAAATAAGATCTTCCCTTTAGGTTACCATTAACATGGTAAACAGGAGGTGGAATTATGGGTGGCTTTTCTGTTTTGCACTTTTCTATAGTTCTTAAAACTTCATATTACTTTTTTGCCTCTTTTGTTTCTTTAGTCTCTGCTTTTGAAATAACCCGATAAACAGAGAGAAAATTCCCCTTCTATCTATCTCTAAGACAATTCTTGGAGGACAGATGGCAACACCAGCCACCCTGCCTGCCGCACCAGCCCCTTGAAATCCTGCTACTTAACTATCCCTCTGTTCTCCCAGACTGCCTCAATTAAACTTGGAACTGAAGACACAATGAGAGGTGTTTCATTAAAACACCCATCTGCCTCACCACAGCCCACAAATAAAACTGGGAATAAGGTACTTCCTCACTGAGTATCACATTCAATCTCCCTTCCTTTGTAACAATACTCTCATGTAAGTATTTTTGACTAATGATTATCCCACTTCAGCATGAAGACAACTTTGACAAAAGAGCAAATCCCAAAGCAACAGTACTCAAAGGGTGGTCTGTAAACCCCTGGAGGTCTCCAAGACTCTTTCAGGGCATCCACCAGCTCAAAGCTATTTTCATACAATAGTAACACATTATTTGCCTATTTCTCTATGCTGAAATATGCACTGATAGTGCAAAACCAAAATGGAAACTTTTGGTGACATCACTCAGAAGCAGGCTAGGAGAGCAGCAGTGACTGCTAGCAGCCACTATGTTCAACACCACCAAGTACTCACAGTTTAAAAAAAATATATATATATATTTTTTTTTTTACTTAAGAATGCCCTAGATAAAGTAGCAACATTAATTTTTTAATTAAATTTTAACCATTGACTACATGTCTTTTGAACATTCCGTAGGACAAAACGGGAAGTATGCATAATGCATAAATCACTTCTGCTGTAAGCCAAGACATGGGCTGTGAAGTTTTTTGAGCTATAAGCTCAACTAGGCACTTCTTTCAAAGAACATCATTTTTACTTGAAAGAATGAATGACAAACTGTGGTAACTTAAGCCTCAGTCCTTGGAAGACATTTTTTCAAAAATGAAACAGGTGAGCCAGTCACTTCAAGGAAAACAACTGACAGTATTTATCTGTTACCAGTGATAAAATTTAAACTTTCAAGTAAAAATCAGAATGTTGGAAAACATGTCTGTCACCAGGAGCTTGACAGCTTTATAATACTTCAAGACTTTTATGATGAGATCTGTAGTAGAATTAATGGATGTAATTTTTTAATATTACATAATGAAATATGTCAATATTTCAAAAACCTATGTAACTCAGTGAACCATTATTTCCCAAATAACCATACCAGTGCATGATGAAAAATCCATTCAAAATGCCAAGATATTCTAATATATTTTAATGTGACAGAGTACAAAAAATTCACTAACATGATTTCAGGTTCCATGCTGTGAATGACTGTTAGACAGTTTGATAGAAATGAGCACCAGGCAAGGGGAGAGGAAGAGGAAGGGAGCAACCCAGAAAATAGCAGTACGCCTGCGCTCAGGATAAGGGGCTCCTAAAACTTCCTTTCTCTAAATGAGGGCCAGAGGAGATGCCAGCTAGGATCAAACGCTGTGGCTGCACAGCAAAGAGAACGACCCGGCTTAACTTGACATAATGCTCATGATAACGTAATTAACATTTCAGTTTGAGCCCCACCCACAGGTTTCTCCATGTGCACCATGGAGCATGTGTAAAAGACATGGACATGGCTGAGCACAGGAACGTGAGCCGTCAATCAATCGATCACCAAAAAAACGTCCCCTAAGCCAGGATATAAACACAGGAAAAACAAAGGAGTGGTGCCATTTTTCCCCTCTTGGGTTGGCCCAACCCCAATTCTCGGGGGTGTACTATATTTTACTGCCTTTTAACTTCACTAATAAAATCTTCTGTTTATATAACACACTCTGTCTAAAATTAAAAATTCATTTTTTTCAGGTGACTAAGAAGCAAGGTAACTTTTATTGCCCTCGTCCCAATAACATAACCACTGAGAAATAACTACTTACTAAGTTTGGGTGCAATATTAAAGAAATAATCACAATCATTTGAAAAGGCTATTAAAATACTCCTCTCTCCTTTCTCCAATTACATGTCTACTTGAGGCTGGAATTTTTTTCACATACATCAACCAAAACAACACAACTGAAGAGATGGCATGAAAAAGCAGACATGAGAATCAGCTGAGTTCTTTAAGCCAGAAGTTAAGAGATTTTCAAAAACAATAAAATGATGCTACTCTTCTCATTAATTTTTTACAAAAGTTTTTCATTAAAAAATGTTATTTATGATAACATATAATTAGTTATTATTTTAAATGAACTAGTTTTTAAATTTCTTAAGTTTTAATTTCTAATACAGTAAATGTTAATACAGCTACATCCCATATAAACAAGCTCTCTGGGGTCCTCAATAATTTAAGAGTGTTAAAGGGTCCTGAAATCAAAATATGAAAACTGCCCAAAAGCAACTGCTCCAAAACTCCACAGAAGTAGTTCTTACATGAGTAACTCTGAAATCTGCTTCCCCATTGCTCTGCCACAGTGCTGTTTCCACCTTAAAAACGATCACAGGCTATTATTTCAGTGATCCTGATTATTCTTCTTATGTATTTCATAAAGGAACACTGAACCACTCACTATTTCAAGAGACACACCATGCTCTCTATATTCTCTAAGATAAACATCCAAATTCCCTAAGCCATTCTTCATTTGCTACGTTTCTCATCACCCTACTCCTACCACTCCTGGTGGACCATCCAGCCACACTCTGCACACTCATTTGCCAATATCATCTCTTCTTCGTATTCGCAATGTCCAGTGCAACCTCTGAACAGAACAGGTGCTTTCCTGAACCAGTGAAGTGCATCTCTCAAAGGGCCACACCAAGAGGCAAACACACCGCTGCGGATCACTGTTTTTCAAACCATGGGACAAATCCATTTTCTCATCAGAGGCAACAGGTCATGACTGGCATTTTTTTTAATAACACAGAATAAACAAAATAGAAAATATCCTTGCTACCTGCCAGGAACACCAGTAAGAACTGCTTTATGAAATTTCTTTGAAATTATAAGCCATGATTTAAAAATGCTTTTGCTACTATGCAGTATACTCAAAAACCTTTCCAAACTACTGCTCCAGATCACATTTCAAGCAGTCTTCCCCCAGTAAGAACGTCACGCTTTCCACTGACCGGGCTAGCGTACTACAGAGGAACGGCCCTTGGCCACCACAGGAAGTACTTCTGTTCTGGCTCCTCAGCTGAGCAGAATGGCTCAACACATACTCACCTTTACCACCCTGAGCAGCGTCATTCCTCAGGCAGGGGCTGTAAACCAGCAGCCCCAGGCCAAATTCGGCTCTTGATCTTTTATTCTGCTGGGTCTTTTTAAAATTTTATTTTATTAGTAAATGTGAATGCCTTCAAGCAGGACACATGCTCCAGAGTGGCACAGATCCCCCCGTCCCAATTAAAGCACCATCATTTCACAGTTGTCTGTCCGGCTCCTAAGGAAATTAGAGGAGTTTGCAACATAGGATAGAGAAATGGTACAAATAACCATCAAACAAGTAAAGGTAAGAATGTATGTACTGTCTACAGTTACACTAACCCAAGGCCTTATGTAAGCAAAAAATACCTGGGAGTGTATTCTGCCCAGACACCATCATAAGCAGCTTCTCTTGTTCCTCCATGAGTCTCTGTAGTTGCTCTAACTGTTGCCTCTTCAGCTGTTCCTGCTTCTTCTGTTGTACTTCTTTCAGCTTTTTAAACATAAAATGAACTCTATTAAACTTCGTATTTCTTTATGAACCTTCACTCCTTACATTTATCTTAATCCCTCCCACCTTTCTTCTAGTATCTTCTGTAATAAAGTGTTTCAAAGATGGATCTCTAAGTAACTAAATCTGCCACCAAATCTCTAAACTTCCAACTAAGAAACAGAGAAAGAATCAAAAATCTTTTGATTCTTAAAGTAGGATAGGTATCAGCACATTTATCATCAGTTTTTTCTCCCTAATATCTGATCAACCATTTCTAACTTAATTTTTACAAAATGAGGTAGAAACTTAAAGACATTGTTATCTTGAGTGTTACATTTATGTCTTACATATTAAACATGTTTTTGTTTTACATTAAATAAGAGGCAAAATATGGCATTATGAGGATTTTACAGTAAAGGGGGAGAAACAAAAAGACCTGAACAGGTGACTTTTCATCATAAAGAGAAACCTGCAATAACACAAAAACGTATCACATCAAATCCTGTTATACCTGCTCGAGCTTTTTAAAAAGAGGGTCTTTATAAGCAACTTCTTTGAATTCACTGGTAAGACCTGAGATAAAGCCATTTCTGTTATCTTCCCAGTGTCCAGGGGCGTCCTGACATGTCACCATTTGTGGTTCCTCTTCAGTTAAAGGAAAGACTCTATGTGTTTCAGTTTTATCTGATTGTAACTTATAAGGGCTGTCAGACTCCGACATCTGTTCTTCATGAAGTGAATCTCCTTCACTTATACAGCTGAAGCTGTTTGGAAAATGTGTGGCTTTCACAGGAAAGCTGGAAGAAATGTTCACATTTGCCTGCTTCTCTTCGTCTGCTTCCAAAACAGGAAATCCACGATTTAATATGACCCCAGCCCGAGAAGAACTGGTCATCCACCGGGTTAAGAAGTTCTGCCCACTGTTTAACTCTGAAGAGGTTGGCATCAGGAACATTTTATTTTAGTCCAATGACACTACTGTGTTTAAAAAATGTGAAAGGTAGAAGAGCTATTAATTTCCAATACCTGTGTAAAGAAGAGAAGACACCCAACAGAATGTATTAGTTAAAGCTATTCTTAAAAAAAAAAAAAAAGAACTATTCTACCCAACATGAACCCAGCACAAAAATCTACTGATTGCTTCTTATACAAAAAACTTTAACTAGCAAAGCAATCAGGCAATAAGTTACATATTTTTCTGGAATATCTTAAAAATACCCAAATCGAGGGAATCAAAACCTAAGTTCCCTTCCAATTTAATCATTCAGTTACTGACGAGTTTATACAAGTGCTCCATCAGCTGACCTAAAACGATGGAAGCTAAAGCACCTTCTTAGTCATGTCGTTACTAAATGAGAAACAGGCCACTATCAGTATCAAATATCATCAGTTTAACCACTTTTATGCTTCCGACCCCAGTCCAACATTGCTTCTTTGCCTAACTAGAGAACCCGTGTTCTCCCCAGTTCCAGAACAAAAGTCACCACCACCCCCATGGCTACCAGGCACTGTCTCCTGGAGCCCCCTTACTTTCTCTTCTCCCGTCTAATGCCTCACCCACCAGGTGGTCCCTCATCTGTATTCCTAGAAGTCTCAGACATCACTATCTCAGCATTCACCTCATTATTAGTGGTATTTTGCTTTTGTGTTCATAATCTACCAAGCTGTGAGTTCCTTGAAGACATCTGTATATTCACCACTGTCTAGCACCATCCATCCCTGGCACATAAGCAAAACTTGATAAATATCTGCTAAAATTAAGTTAAAGTTAAATCAGAACTAAGGTTATATTGTCGAAAACAATTCCATATTATGAAGTATTATTTGAGTTCATTTGATGTTCAACAGTAAAAACATCGATTCGTAACATGGGACAGCTATGCTGTATGAATCACACTCTAAAATAACCAAATTCCTACTGCAGCTCTACCCCTGTATGATAGATAAACTTAATCGGGACATCAGAGAAGACATGCTCTTATTTCACTCAACTAATACTCACTGTGTTCTTCCTCTGCCCAGTACTGCTTTAGGCACTGGGTAAAGTCACGGTCTTGTGGGGAAAATACACACAAGAGGGAATTACACAGTATGTTAAATACTAGTAAGTGTTAAAGAGAAAAAAAAAAGCCATGTGGGGACTGGAGATTACAAATTTAGACAGGGTGCACAGGAAGGCCTCAGTTTGAGGACAAAATTAAGGATCTGGTGGAGGAGAAGCAAGTGGTACAGCTACGAGACTCAGAGTCAGACCCAGCCACCCAGACCTCGTAACCTCCATCTGTAGGAAGCCCCCTCACCAAGTGCTCCACTCCTCCAGACAACCACCAGCTGTCACAGTTCCATCACTACCATCTACCTCAAATCTTCCAGGATTAATCTCTTTAAGTATTTAAATCTACTACATCAGCCACCCTTTATCTCTTATACTCTAATCTCCACGCATGCGCTTATTCTGTCTCCATCTCCCAGTGCAAAACCACTCACTGTGCATCACCAGCAAAATCTATTATTCTTAACCTCTCCTCTCACCTCCCTGAGAACACTTGAAACACCTGAGAAAGACTAAAAACTGTTAACACCCAGTGTGAAAAAGAGGAACTCTTCCATAAAATTTACTTGGGAATGTGAAGTTTAACCTTTTGAAGAATTTGACAATATCCATCCAAAATGTAAATGTACAAAAACTGACTTGGCAATTTCACATCTAGGCATTTTGTGCTATATTGGCAGTGGTTTACAATATTTGTAATAAACTGAAATTAACTTAAATGTCCACTAACAAGGGAGCAGCTAATTATGGTATTCACATTATGCAACTATTAAGGATAACAAGAAAACTCAGTAAGTACTGATTTGAAAGTACTGAATATATCCAAGATATACTGTAAACAGACAAAGGCAAAGTGTAGGGCAGGGTATAAGAGATAAAGACAAAAAATTCAACTGCATAGACCTGTGCTGTCCAATATGGTAGCCAGCAGTCACTTATGGCTACTGAGCTCTTGAAATGTGGCTAAAGTAACTAAAGAACTTGATGTCACTTTACTAGCTCAAAATCTGGAGTTAATAAAATGTTAAAACAAGAGACTGATGTTTCCTTTGTTGCTTCATTCCACCATATGACACACACTGAAAATACTTGTGCTCTAGTTTCTGAGGCATAAGCCTGGAACAGTATCACAGATACAGTTGTTAAAACTGTTCAGTATGTATATGCAAGTGCTATGAATCACCAGTTTACAGAACTGTTCAAAGAGAGAGAAGACAGCGAACTTAATGACACTTTTTTGGTTTTTGTTTTTGCCAATGTGCCCTAGTTGAGTTCTGGAAGTTTCAACAAGGGCTTATCGTACTGTGAACTCCAATTAAAGATTTTTCTAGGGACAAAAGGATTGCTTACAAACCATTCAATAACCAAAGATAAAAATGGCAGTGTGATTTATTTTCTCACTGATACCACACTTTGAGAACCACAGCTATTAGGGCATTAAAAAACAGTGCTGCTATAGGCAACAACATGGATGAGTTATGTTGAGTCCAAGTCTGACATGAATATTGGATGTTTCCATTTAATACGAAGTTCAAAAATTGGCAAGATAAATCCACAGGTACAGAAGTCAGAATCATGGTTATCCAGGAAGCTGGTACTGCTGACAGGGAAGGGGCTTCCGCCTTCAAGAATTACAAAGATGTTCTTTTTTTTTACCCGGGTGGTGGTTACACCGGTGTATACAATTGGGCTGTACACTTAAGACAAGGGCATTTTTTTTAATTAGGGCACTTTTACTGGATATCTGTTACTCCTGAATAATTCTTAAAAACTGCTCTAAGCAAATTAATTCTTTTTGACTTGAAAGCCTACCTAAAAAGGCAACAACTCTTCATCAAAATCAACCAAGTAAAAACCAAGTAAATCAATTCAGCAGGAAACTTCTGAAATCCAAATTTAGGAAAAAGACAAGCTCCAAGATCATTTTCTAACATCAAAAACTAGAAAAGGTCCTACTAGACTGACCAGTGCAAACACCGCTGTGATGCAGCACTCGAACGACTGCATCTTTCCCCACCTCAAAAAGAAACCTCCACTGCTTCCTTCGATTTCACTACTATGATCCCAGAAGCATATTCACAGTCAACGTGCAGTGTAAAAATACTGTTTCCCCTTAACTTGTTACTTATCACTTATTCTGAGGCCCCGGCATATGCAGCAAAATACCTAGAAAGGATGAGCATGTGGACTTTGATTTTCCAGATACTAAACCTGCTGGAAACAAACCGACAGTCTCTAACTTCCCACGAGCACTACGTAAAGCAGAGTGAGGAGGAAAGAGAAATTCTCCGCATCGTGAGGCGGGGAACGTGGAGGCAAACGACTAACTCGGAGCCACCCTCGGGCCGTGGAGAGCACCGGGCTGGTCTGGGCGGTGAGTTACCGACCACGAAACCACGAGCCCACAGCAAAGCTCCCAAAGACGCACCTGCGGGAGGGAGACGCAGCGACGCGCTCCTCGCGTCTCCACAGGAGCTCGGGGCGCGGCCGAGACCACGGGCAGCGGGAGCTGCGAGG